TTCCTGGCTCCAAATGGTATTGGGTGAAATTGATCAGGCCAGCTAGCCTTTTGCTGCCCTACTGCGGTAGAAACTAGGGCCTGGAAATAGCCAAGTCAGTATTTGATTGTCCACTCATTTGCTCACCCTTGGTTCATTCATTCAGTTGTGTGAACGAACGAGCACAAAAATCTCCAGCAGCAGCCAGACGCTGAACCCTGGGGGCTCCATGGCCGGGACGCTGCCCTCAGGGAACTGATGTCCTGTAGGAGCTAGAGGACCTAGCTCTGGCTTCTACATCACTGCAGTTTGCTTTAACTGAAACTAACGTAGCTACTCCAGCTTTTGATTGCTTAGTGTTAGCATAGCCTATTTTTCTTTTTTTTCCACCTATGTGAGTCTTTAATACTTAAAGTGGGTTTTTTTATAGACAGCATAGCATTGGGCCTTGCTTTTAATACACTTGAACAATTTGTGTCTTTTAGTCTTTTAATTGGTCTATTTTAATTATTTTTTTTCTTGGCTGTACTAGAGTTTGAACTCAGGTCTCATGCTTGCTAGGCAAGCACTCTACTACTTAAGCCCTCAATCATTCATATTTAATGTGATTATTGATAGGATTATTATCTTCCACGTGTGTGACTCTTTTCTATTGATTACACTTGGATCTCCCTTCCCCCTTTCCCCCCTTTTCTCATTTTAACTGAGCACTTACTGATACGATTTCATTTTACCTTCTGTCTAAGCATATTGGTTATATTTCATTTTCAGTTATTTTAGTGGTTGCTCAAGACTGTGCAATATACATTTTTATGTAATTTTTCAATCAGTAGACTTTATTTTAGAGCAATTTTAGATTTACAAAAAAGTTTGAGAGATAGTACAGAGGAATACATTTCTAACTAATATAAATTCACTTCCAACTATAGAATACCACTTCATGTATAGTGCAACTAATTTGCAACAGTGTTTCCAATTCCTCCCTCCCTCCCTTGTAACATTGCTCATTCATTCCACTTACCCATAGGCCACAATCACACCATACATGAAGTTTCTGAGCCATTTTGTCCTACTTAAAGATTTTCTTTTGCAGGTGGAACTGGGGTTTGAATTCAGGGCTTCAAGATTGCAAAGCAGGTGTTCTACTGCTTGAGCCACATCTCCGATCCATTTTGCTCTGTTTATTTTGGAGATGGGGGTCTCAGGAACTATTCGACTGTGCTGGTTTCAAACTGTGATCCTCAGGAGTTCAACCTCTCAAGTAGCTGGGATTATAGGTTCATCCCTTTTACTCTTGAAGGGTAATTTTGCTGAGTCTAGACTTTAGTGTTGATAATAGATTTTTTTTTCTCTTATCATTTTGCCTATTTCCCCCACTCATTATTTATCCACATGGTTTCGAGTGAGAAGTTTGCTGCATTTCTTCTTGTTCCTCTGCAGGTAAAGCTTCTTTCAAGATTTCTCTTTGCTTTTGGTTTTCTTCAATTTGAATATGGTATGCCCCCATGTAGATTTATGCTTTATGCTCTCTTAGATGCCTGTTGTTTGGGTATTTGTCATTCACTTTAGAAAATTCTTGAACATCTTTACTTCAGATATTTCTTCTCTTTCTCACTTTCTTCTCTCTCCATTTTTTCCAGTGTCACATACATGGGAGCTCTTGAGATTGTCCCACAGTTCTTACATGCTCTGTCCCCTTTGCTAACATTTTCCCTCATTACTTATCAGTTTGGGAAGTTGCCCTATCTTTAGGCTCACTGATTCTTTTTTCCTCAACGGTATCCAACCTCCATCTGTGACATTTTTATTTATTTTACAAAGCTTTTTATTTCTATTAGATCTTTTAAATGTCCTTTTCTTGTTTGGTGCTGGGGATGGAGCCCAGGGCTCACACATGCTAGGCACGCCCCCTACCACTGAGCTGCCCCCAGCTCTTTAAAGTCTTCCTCTGTTTACCGTTCTTGCACATGGTCAGTTTTTTTCCAGTGTAGCCTGGATGTATGAATCATAGTTATTTCACATTCCCTGTGGGTTGACTTCAGCATCTGTGTCATATCTGAGCCTGGTCTCTTCAGTTGGTAACTTTTCTTCCCTTTCATTGAGCCTTGGGTTTTTCTCTGGAGAGCAGGCATGAAGTACTGGACCACAGGAATGGAGAGACACGGGGGTCTTTACAGTGAGACTTACGTGAATCTGGCTAGGGGATGGGCTGTCTGGCTGTCTAACATGGGCTGTAGTCATAGAAGCTAGAGGTTTTAAGTACAGTGTCCTTGTATTTGTCTAAGGACTTTAAATGCCTAAGGACTCCTCCTCCAGTAGGTGGTGACCTGAGCACATGCAGCTGTGACCAGCTGTTCTGCTAGAGCACTGATGATGGGGACCATCATCAGGGAGGAGCCATGTCTATAATCCTTTGTCTCTGGGCTGTACCTCTCACAGTGTCTTTTAGTTTCTTGTCCTCCTAGTGAAGCAGGAAGGCTGGGGGACTGGCCTTGGGGCACTGCCTCCCCCATGGTGGGTGAGGCTCTGGTAGTCTTTTTTGGGGAGAGAAGACCTCTGTTGTAGAGACCACTGATGGTGTGCTTCCTGAAGATACCTCTTTCCCTCCCCATGCCAGATTCCCAAGGGGTCTTTCTTGGCTCTTCCTTGCAAGAACCTGGTAGTGTTCCTGCAGTAAAACCACAAAAGTATCCTCCCCCAAGACTGTGCCACAACCCTCTGCTTTTCACTCACACTCATGCACACCCAGCCCCCAGCAATTCGACCAAATGACTGCTTAAGGCATTCTACCCATTTATGGTTCTGGTAACTTCTGCCCAGGTCAGCCAAGCTCAGCCACAATGCTGGATTTGCTTGTCTCTCCAGACTGTGGGGTGGCAGTTGGCCTGGAATCTCCATTCTCTCATGGTCCTATAAGTCGTTGATTTTCAGGGTGACACTAGACAAGTTCCTGATTCCTGCTCCTTCATCTGTAAATGGGACCATGACATAAAATTGTATCCCATACTGCCAAGACCTGTAGGGAAAGGAGGGTCTCTGGGGATGGGGAACCCATGGTAAGCTCTGAGCCCCTGTGCCCAGAGCCAGGCCTCTAAGGTCAGACAGCAAGCACACCTTTCACAGACCTGGCAAACTATCTGATGGGGACAAGAGGCTCCGAGCCTGTGTCCCATAGCTGCCTAATAAACATCTGATGGATGAACTGGCCTCTAGAGGGTTCCCATAGTGGGGTGGGGGGGGTTCAGCATGACCCCAAGGAGTCCTCTGACTGGGCCTGGGCACCTTGGGGCAGGCTGTCTGCCTGCCCATCTCCTCCAGGAACTCCCATGGGAATGGCCTTGGGCACTGGTGAGGCTGTCCCCAAACCTTACAGCTGTGACCCAGGTTCTGTAACTTCTACCTCCCCACACTGTCCAGAGTCCTATGTTGATGTGTTTCCATTGCCTTTTTTGACTACTGGCTGTGAACCAGGGGCCTTTGCCCATGTCCTTCCTGGGCCTGTGTATCCTCAGACCACACCAGCTCTGCCCTTGCCAGACTCCATGTGCCCCCCACCCCTCAAAGCTGTGTTTTTCAGTCTCCCACTCAGTCACCCCTACTCTGTTCAGTTGATGAGAAGCGTTGGTTGGAGCTGGAGGGTGGGATGAAGGAGAAGTTGAGGTATTCCTCCCCTGCTGTCTGTCTCAGGCACAGTCTGACAGTAGCTATCTCTAGCTTCCATCAGATAGGCACCTTGGGGGCCCAGCTTTGGCAGGTGACCACAGCTATTTGACTCTAGTGCCATCTCCTGCTGGCCCTGCAAGTCAAGGACTTGTGGACTCTTCCTACTGTTGTGGAGTTCCAAGTTGCCTCACCATGTCCCTGTGGCTTTTTGGCTCTGCTTTAAGTACTTAGAGATGTTGTGTGTGGAGACCCTGACTCATCACAGCCTCTGTTCAGCCTCAGCCACAGACCTCTGAGTCTCACAGCCATGAGGAATCTAAGCCACTCAGCCCTGCCAGGAACTCTAGCACAAAGACCCAGATGGGTTTCCCAGAGCAACCTAAAGAAACTGCAAAGGATGGGTGTGTGAGCTGGGGCCATGAAGACCAAATAGGAGTTTGCCAGACAGACAATGGGGATGGGATGGGCATTCCAGTGAGGATGCTGAGATCAGTTTGGGAAAGTGGCAGATGCTTCTGGAGTTGTGAGGTTCTGGGACAATGAGGCAGTGTATATGCATCTACTTGGGTAGGGGGTGGAGGTACTGAAGCTGGGGCAAGGGTTTAGGGTAGACAGAATGGATGCCTACCACAGGCATGGACCCATCAGGGCTTCCTATGCAGAGTAGAAGGAGGGAGGCCTGCTGGGTCCTGGAAAGTAGGGGAGTTTGCTGGCCCAGGAGGGAATAAAAGTTGGGGGCTGGAGCAAGGGTGGATTGTGGGAGCTGCCACCTCCTCCCTCCCCACCTGCAGGCCTGGGCTTTGCTTCTCCTTGTGGGACCCAGACAGCACACACATTTACTCCACACCTCATTTTAAGTAGTTCCATGAAAGCTCCTAATCACTGACTCCATCTTGTCCCTCCCCTGGCCCAGTAGGAGGTGGGACTGGAACCGGGGAGTCAGGCTTGGGTCTTGGAGCTCCCGACCCTTTATGGCCAAATAGTGTTCCAGGCCAGGAAGTTAAGTCCCAGGCAGAAACGTGAAACACAGTCGGGCTTCCAAGAGGCCAGGCCCCAGGCTTTGAATTTGTAAGACTCCGCGGCCAGGAGGAAGGGGCTGCGAGCTACCCGGAGAGCGGGAACAGACGTTGTGCAGTGCTCTGCGCCGCGCGCCTCTAGCAGCAGTCCCGCCAGGGGATTCCGGATCAGAGGGGACCTCCTGGCCAGGGAAGTCCTCAAACCTGAGGCCTGCAGGGCGAGCCACCCATTCTCTTTGCCGCAAGCGCGCGGGAGGGTGCCGGCGAGGCTGGAGGCGGGCGCTCGGGGCGCACCGGACCGGGTTGCCCGCCCTTCGCCTCTTCCTCTGCGGGCCGGGAGGCATGGCGGGGCAGCGGGCCGAGGCTGGGGCCGGAGCCCGGGCGCTGCTAGCGCTGCTGTCGCTGCTGGCACTGCAGGCGCTCCCGGCCGCCCCGCACCCGCAGTGCCTGGACTTCAGGCCGCCCTTCCGGCCGCCGCAGCCGCTGCTCTTCTGCGCGCAGTACTCGGCCTTCGGCTGCTGCACCGCGGAGCAGGACGCGGCGCTGGCCCGCCGCTTCGGAGCCCTGGCGACCCGCATAGACGCCGGGGTGTGGGCGACGTGCGCTGGCTACGCGCTGGACCTGATGTGCCAGGTGAGCGGGCGCGCGGCGGAGAGGGCGCGCCTGGGTCCTGGTTCTGGGTACAGCGGGGATCCGAACTCACTGGGGCGAGGATAGAGAGTGGGTCCCGGATCCAGAGTGATTTGGCACCGGGCGGGAGACCGGGCATCCCCGGACGGCTCTTGGCTTTGTCATTCCTTAGCTTTGTGACTTGGATATTCTTAGGGCTTCGGTTTCCTCTCCTGAAGCAGGAGGGACAGTTAAATAATGTCATCAGTCTCAGAGACTGGGGACTCCTATGCCCGGGACACCCTAGGGTTACGGCCCCCAGTGCTCCATCCCAGGAGCCCCGCCCTTGTCCAGGTACTAGGGTGAGGAGGTGTTTGCCTCACTCCTCTTTGCCGCGGAGAGAATTGGGTGTGCTGGTCTAGGCGCAGAGGTCTGAGGAGCACTGCTGTCTGTGAGAGCCCCTCCACTCCCCTGATGGAGCAGACTGAGTCCCTCCCTCCCCTCTGACCCTGTCTGTGTGGGTCCTCAGTCTTAACACCACTTGAGTGACATCCCTTGGTGAACCCCTCCCTCACATCTCACCTCTGAGGGTGGAGCCCCTGTTTCCGTCCACACCAGAACCTGCCATAGCTGTTTTCCTTCGGTGCAGGTTGATGATGAGTGCTGACCACAGCCCCAGCTGCCTGACTGAATGCAGAACTGGGGACCAGGCCGGGAAGCCTGGCTTAGCAACTGGGCAGAGAGGGGACTCAAAGGTAGAGGAGCCCTCATCTTGGAGCACAGAGTTCCAGCCTTCGGTCAGCTGGGCATGGGGAGGGGCGGGGGAGGCAGAAGGGCTGACTTGGAATCAGTCTTCCTGAGCTGATTCTGGCTTTGCCACCTCCTGACTCTGTGACCCTGGAAAGCTCACTGTTGCCCTATTGTGTTATCTTTAGAAAGGAGCAGATGTTCTAACTATCACCCCTCCTGCATTTGCCAATTAATGACACAGGCTAGTTTACTGTTTGCAGGTGAATTCCCCAAGCGCTTCCTTGTCCCCACTCCCTTTGCTGCTCAGCCCTGGGAGGGGCTTGAGTGGGACCAATTCAGGGAAGACCCAGAAAAGGCAAGGATGTACCGAGCCCATCAAGTCCTGATCACACAGTTCAGTAGTGACAGGCAGGACCTGCACCACACCCAGTGCCCATGTGAGCACACCTGGGTGGGAAGTAAGAGGCACTGGGAGATGAGGAGAGGGGGCACAGAATGCTCCAGGTGCTGGGCTGCCCACCTTCTGGTGGGCTCTGTGGACCTCCATGCTGTGAATCTCAAGGAAGTTGACAGGCTGGTCAACTACCTGCCTCCTCAGCCTGGGAGCTCCTTGGGACCCACCCCCAGGACATGTAGCAGAGTTTACCATTCTACATTTGTTTATTGAACACTTACTTTATGCTGGGCCCAGCATGGCAGACAGGTGTGAGGAAGAGGAAGGGAAAGTCAGTTCTGAGGTGGTCTGCTGGCAGGAGGCACCTCTTTTGCCTTGGAAACCTTCCCAGGACAGCCTGGCCTTCAGCAGTTTGTGGGGGAGTGTCTGCTCGCATCTCTAGCTGAGGCATCTCTGGGGGTGACCTCATGTCTGGAGTGACCTCATAGTGGGTCTCTGGGGCTAGGGAACGGACTCTCTGAAAGGGCCTTGAGGAGAGGGCTGGCAGAAGCACCGCCCTCGCTGCCAGCCAAGGCAGACTCTGAGGGCACCTCCTGATTTCCAACTGGGGAGGGATACAGGTGCCTCATCTACAGGTTTCAGTGGGTGAAGCTTTCAGGCCTCACAACTGCCTTGGGGAGACAGGAGGCTCTTTCTGGAGGGCTTTGCCCTCCTGTAGGAAATGCCTATGTCCTTAGGAGGAGAAAGGCCAGTTGTGGTATGTGGTGTCACCAGCGTGGCCTGTGAGTGCTTTCTGTGACTGAGGTCACCTCTCTGAGTGCTGGGGCCTTCAGAGTTCTGATGGCAACCAGCAAAGGTGCTCTTCATGCTTACACACTCAGCAGACACATCCCCGAGCCTGTGAGGGGATGGCTTTGTGCTACTGCTGGCTCACGGGCAGTTGGCAAGTAGCAGGGCCAGCCTCAAAAGCCACCAAAGTTCAGGAGAGAGACATGCAGCCACTTACCAGAATGTGTAAGAGATTCCCCAAGGTTACCAGGGGGGCATAGCAAAAAAGCTGCATCAGTCAGGGACATCTTTCTGGATGAGGTACCATCACGTTCCTTCTTGATGGCTCATATTGTTTAAACATTTACTGAACAAAAGCATGTATCATTTCTATTCCTTCCAGCAACTCTGTGAGGGTGGGCTTTCCCTTGTATAGATGAAGACATAGGCACAAAGAGGTTAAGGAGCTGCTCAAGTCTCACAGGAGACATGTGCTCTTGTTTTAAAGCCCTTCTTACCATGACTAGGAACTTGCCAGATGTGGAAGTAGTGGGTGAGGAGGAGACGCACCACAGGAGAACACTGTGTACAAGACTTGTCTCCCAAATGAGGGGGTGGTGAACAGAAGAAGCCTCTGGGACACAGGATCATGAGTCATGAGTGTCAGTAGCTGTGCGGTAGCATCCATGTACAAGCGCTCCGCCCCTGCACTAAATGGTCCAGCAGTGAGAGACTGGCTTGGTTTTCCCATCTCCCCTGGGACACTGAGGCTAACTGAATGATTACCGGCAGCAACCACTGTCCCCTCTTGCCACTTCCTAATTCTGGACTACTCTGGTCTGAGAGCCACCATGTTTGCATTGTGTGTGAGAAAGAGTACACAGGCCAAGAGGAAGGCTGCTGGACCAATGGTTTGATGCATACGTGCTGAGGTCTCTGTTTGACCCTGGACGCTGTTGTGCTCCCTCTGAGTTCTGGGTTAGGCTTCGGTGAGTGGAGGGCACTCAGATTGGCTTCTGAAAGTCTGTCCTTCCCCACCTCCCCACTGTGTCTCTGGACTCCAGACAGTGCCGGGCATACAGTCTATTCAAGTCTATAATTGAATGAAATGCTGCTAGAAAGAACATCTGTAGGTGTTATGAGGCCTGGGTGTGAGCCCTGGTCTAGTCACTTCTTGGCAAGTGGCCTCTGTTAGCCTAAGTTCCTCGTCTGTAAAACAAGAGTCACAGTGACCCTGCCCTGCAAAGAGGAAGTGAGGCATATCCTTCCCTGGCCACCTGCAGCTGCTGGTGTTTCACAGGAGGCTCCAGGGCACCACAGAGAGCCTGCACTGTGCAGAGTTCCAAGGCTGGCCATCCAGCCCATCCTCACCAGAGTAGAGCGTGTGACAGAGACATGGCCATTCTGCCTGGGCCTGGGACCATGACTGATCAAAGACTTCAAGTGCCCTTAGCTTATTGGGTGGGACTCAACCCCAGGGAGTACTAGGGCTAAGAGTGACCAAAACTACAGTCATCTAACAGGAGTGTGACCCCTGGCCCAGAGGTTGGGGGCACAACAGGGAGGTCTGCCAGCCCCCCACTGGCCCTTGAGGTCTCTCTCCTGCTACCCCAGCCTGGCCCTCCCTATGGGGGCCATGAAAGGGTGGGGGTGGCAGCATATAGCTGACAGCACCTCCCCTACCTCTGAAGGAGCATCCCTGAAGTCTCTGTGGGCCCAGAACTGAATCGGCTGGAGGGTGTGTCAGACTCAGAGATCAGAGCTGTAGTGCACAGGTTGGGGCGCCACAGTGGGAGGTCCTTATGGGGACTTGGCTGCTAAGGGCTTTTCTGTAGACAGAGAAGGGGCAAGGAAGGTGGCCTGGTGGGTAGAGGGCACCCCACTGGAGTTTGCAAGTGTGTAGTTTGGAGCCAGTGTGTGAAGTCGGCACACCTAGCTCAAACTCCACCAGCTACGCTCTGTAGCATGTGACTCGGTATTACTGGTGGCTTTTATCTGTCTCACGGGAATAAAGAAATAAGAACACCTGTCAGTTTGTGGATACCTTTGGAGGAAGCCCAGCCCATGGTCTGCCTGAAAATCAGGAGCTACCATGATTTATGACTATTTTCATCCTTATTATTTATGAAGGAAAAGAAGTCTGCCTGCCAGTGAAGGCCTGAGTGAAGGGAAGGGCTCAGAGGTGTGACATGGCAGGGGGTGCCAGGAAATGGAAGGTGGGCAGAGGGTGGGGGCATGGGCAGAGCCACAGCAGGGGTGCCTAGCTACCTCCAACATGGCTCTTGGGTTCAGGGATAGGATGGGCACTGGAGGCATGAAGCAGGGGTGAGGCCTGTTCAGGTTTGCTGCCTCTGCCTGGGTCCCCAGTAAAAAGAACATGGGCCCAGCTCTGGGCTTTTCCTTATTTGAGCAAGCAGACCCAGGAAGCAGAAGGAACAAGAAACAGGGGAGAGCCAGGGCTAACATACAGCTGTGAGCGGTGGGCCCAGCTTCTGGGACGCCACATGGCTGCAGTCCGGACCATGCCAGGGAGGAAGGTGTCACATTACCCATCTACCCCCTCTTCCCAGCTGTCACAGTCTTGCTCCCCACCCCCCCCAAATTGTCTCCCCTGAAATCCAGGTACTGCTGACGTGGGCCTGAACAGCATTCACAGAAACTCATCAGTAGGAGAGGCTTCAGGGCTGGCAGGTGAGGGAGTGGGGAGCCCAGGTGTCTGAGAGATCTGAAGAGGAACCCCAGGAGCTGGATTTGTTTAGCTCATCAGTTGCCAGAGCAGCTGCTGAGGTGGGGGCCAACCCCAATATATTTACTGGGAGGGGCTGAGTCCCAGGTGCCTGTGAGGAGGATGGATGGGCTGGAGTCATAGGAAGGTGTGGGCACGGTATCGTGGCATCATCACGCACTTGCACAGGTACACCTGTGCCAGCCACCCCTGTGCTGGAGAGAACAAGGCCCCTTTGAAATCAAACTCAGACTCCTCCCCATGTTACTAGCCTGAGCATGGCATTGAATGACACAGGGGAGGGGGAAACAACTCAGTTTCCCCATCAGTAGCACCCTCTCCTTCCTGGAGCTCTCAGATGTATGATGGATTCAGGTAGGAGCACTTGTTTCCAACAGACCAAAGTGAACAAAGGGCTGGAGGGAGTAAGTTGTTATTTGGCATTACTCATTATGGGCCTACTATGTGCCAGACTTTGTGTTAGGCTCTGGGAGAGATACAGCAGTGTACAAGACCAAATCATTCCCGCCTTAGTAGACTGTGTGTTCTGAGGAAGACAGGCAATAAACAAGTAGCACATTATTTTTATTACAGTTCAGGAAAAGCTTTTGTCTTTTTAAGCAGAGTCAGAGGCCAGGGGGTAATGTGGGGTAGATGGGGAGATCGGGGCGATCTGAGTAGGGATGCTGATAAAAGGAAAGAGTAAATCATGCAGACATGGGATAAGGGACATGATATCAAAGGTGAAAGTTTTCACCATGTTTCCCCCCACCCCAAGCCATGCTCTGCACAAAAAGCAGCCCTTGCTGTCACTGTAGTAATGGCTGTGGTTATTCTTTTTTTGGTGGAACCAGGGTTTGCACTCAGGGCTTGGCACTTGCAAAGCAGGCACTCTGCTGCTTGAGTCACTCCTCCAGCCCATTTTACTCTGGTTATTTTGGACATGGGGGTCTGAGGCTGGCTTCAAACCACCATCTCAGCTTCCCAAGTAGCTAGGATTACAGGTGTGAGCCACCAGTGCCCGGCTGGTTGTGGTTATTCTAAAAAGCTCTAAGGCAAGGGGACAAAAATGAAAAAGAAACAGGCCAAGGGTTGTTTCTGGGGTTGAGACTATTCATGATAATAGACTGTTGCTACAGGCAGGTGACACACCCCCTCCCGCCCCGTGCCAATGAAGGGGCTTCACACAGCATCTCTGAACCTTCCCCTTCTCTGCAGGAGTGCTCGCCCTACGCAGCCCACCTGTACGATGCAGAGGACCCCGCCACACCACTGCGGACTGTGCCCGGCCTCTGTGAGGACTACTGCCTGGACATGTGGCAGACCTGCCGGGGCCTCTTCCGCCACCTCTCAACGGATCGCGAGCTCTGGGCTCTGGAGGGCAACCGTGCCAAGTTCTGCCGCTATCTGTCCCTGGATGACACGGACTACTGCTTCCCGTACCTGCTGGTCAACGAGAACTTGAACTTGAACCTGGGACGCGTGGTGGCCGACTCCAAGGGCTGCCTGCAGCTGTGCCTGGAGGAGGTGGCCAACGGGCTGCGCAATCCTGTGGCCATGATCCATGCCGGGGACGGCAGCCACCGCTTCTTCGTGGCTGAGCAGGTGGGGCTGGTGTGGACCTACCTTCCCGACCGCTCGCGGCTGGAGAAGCCCTTTCTGAACATCAGCCGCGCAGTGCTCACCTCACCCTGGGAGGGTGATGAGCGAGGCTTCCTGGGTCTGGTCTTCCACCCCCGCTTCCGGCACACCCGCAAGATCTACGTCTACTACTCGGTGGGGGTCGACTTCAACGAGTGGATCCGTATCAGCGAGTTTCGGGTCTCGGAGGACGACGAGAACACGGTGGACCACCACTCTGAGAGGTGTCCCAGGGGCCCAGGCCAGGGTGGGGCTGGGCGACGTGTGGGAGGCAGGTGGAGCATCAGCTGGGTCTGTTATTAAATACTGTGAATATTTCACATGCCCAGTGGGAGACTTAATCAAAAACTCCGATGGTTTTACAAAACAGACATCCATGGTCTCCACCCCTCGACCTGACCATCAAGGTGGACATTTCTTCCCCAACCCTTTCATCCCTTGGAGATGTCTCATTTGACTCATAAAACCCAAGGAGGTTAGGTTTTTTTGTTTTGTTTTTCCATTTTATGGATGAAGAGGTGGAGGCTCAGAGAGAGGAAGTGATCTGTTAGGTCACACAGCTAGGAAGGATCTGAGCTGGAACCCTAATGTGTACCCAGGACTCACTTTCCTCACCACTTCCCACCATCTCTCCCTGAAAGCACCATTCCTGACACCACCGTCAGCTTCTCCCCACCCCGCACACACACACTGACCCTCCCTCCTGCCCCAGACTTTTATCCATTCCTGCGGAGCCTGCTCTCAGTGTTATTTTTGCCCCAACTGTTTAAAAATGGGGTTGATCTGGCCTGGCCCAAGGAGCCCTCAAATCAATCCAAGTCCAACAGGAAAATAGCTCTGTATAAGAGAATCCAACTCATTCCCGGATCCTAGGAATGAGTTACTTGGGTGTTAGAAAGGTTGGAAGAGAAGCCTGGGGTGGGAGGTACCTCTGGTTGAGCCACTGGAGGAAGCCAGAAGAGGGGTTACTGAAGCCCCAGAGCTGGGACCATCCAGGGGAAGCTGGCACCACAGAGAAGGTGCAGCGGCTGCCAATATGCTGCCTAAAACAGAGAACTGGGAGAAATACCCTCTCCTCTAAAAAGGAGGCGAAATCAAATATGCTTGTCTTCAGGGCTAATATGGCTCTCATCAGTCCGCATTAATTTTGACTATGAACTTGCTGGCAGTCAGAGAAAACATAGTTATCATCATCTTATATGAGCCTGTGCAACCACTTCTCTGCGAGAGGCTGATTATCACATGGACCTGACAGAGGGAAGATGGAAGGACAGAATGGATGTGTCTTCAACAGTGACTTGTAAAAACTGAGTCCTGATAGAGCCTGATAAGTTGGAACATATAATAGGCAGATGAAAATATTTCAGACTGGAGGTTCCATAACTGTCCTCTGGGGATGTCACATGTCCAAGCCTAGAACTTGAGTCACTCAAAGGAGAGAAGTAGGCATAGCTGGGTGACCCAGGAGTGAGTGGTCATCCATGGTGAAGTCAGTCCCTTCCCAGGGTGAGGGCAGGGATTCTAGCAGGGTGAAGAGGCACATAATAGATAGTCTGAGCTGTCCTCTATATGAAGAACCTGCAGCTCGGGGCTGTGTTTTGCTGAACCAGTTGTGTGCATTGGCCTCACCATGCAAAGGCTTCCAGGCTTGACTCTGAAGGACCCCAGTCTTGGGTTCAAGTGGCTTGGGCTTTGTATCTTGGTTTTTCTGAACTGTGAGGCTTATTTCCCTTGGAGGGATTCAGCACAGGGCTACAGGAGGACAAGGACAAGGTTCAGACCAAGATCAGTGACTGCAACAAACTGCTGCCACTGGGATCTGAGGAACCCAAGGGAGAGGTGTTAATGCAGCTGGGGCTGAGATGCCTGGTGGACATCCAGAGGTCCAATTGGCCTGAGCTTTTACTGCCTCTTCACCCAGCACTTCTGGAGACAGAGTCAGAAGCCAGAGAACTATGGCTTCTCCCTTTCTGTTGCCTTCCCTTCTCCACTGGCAAACCTAGAAGCCAGTTGGCTTGGGGGTACAGTGGAAGGCTTCCCGTAGGAGCAGCAGGGAGATTCCTGGAGTGGCATGGATCTGAAGGCAGTCTACAGCATCCAGTCCACCATCATGAGAAGTGGTGACTGACAAGCCAGGGTACATGTAGAATGTACTGTTTCAGTAGTTGGTGTGTAGGAAGCTGTGAGGATGAAAAACCCAGTTGTGCTAAGTGGTCAGCTTGACAAGTTCCCGTCATTCTAATAGAGCTGGTGCTAGCATTGGAGAGCAGCAGGAAAAAACCTTACTAGATCCAGATGAGAAGACTTGAGTCCTAGTTCTAGCTCTGCTACCTGTACTGTGTACTTCAGAAAAGCCACTTAAACTCTCAGAGCCTCCATGTTCTTCTTAACAAAATGGAGCAAATTATCCCTGCCCAGCCTACCTCCCTGATCCTTGTGAAAATCAAAATCACTTGTTATAAAGGATATAAAAAAGTTTTTTCCACTACAAAATTACATCCAAGATAGGAGATCTTATTGCTATGATCTTGTTTTATGTTTTGGCTCATATGTGGAGGCTAAGTTTTTGTTGTGGGGGGGCTTATGTCCTTGTAGGATAATCCTGGAGATTGAAGAACCAGCCTCTAACCACAATGGGGGTGAACTGCTTTTTGGGGAGGATGGGTACCTCTACATCTTTACCGGAGACGGCGGGATGGCCGGAGACCCCTTTGGGAAGTTTGGAAATGCTCAAAACAAGTATGTTCTGCCTTTGGCTGGCTCGTACGTTCTTTTATGTGCTCCTGGCTTCTTACACGCTTCTGGATGGGGAGTTATCTCCTCAGCCAAGCAGTGCAGGGCAGTAGAAAAGGGTTTGGGGCTGGCAGAGTGGCTCAGGTGGTAGAGCACCTGCCTGGCAAGCGTGAGGCTCTGAGTTCAAACTCCAGTCCCAGTACCACTAGAAAAAAAAAAAAAAGAAAGAAAGGGGTTCGGGTCCAGCTCAGCCTGCAGCTATCTGGGGTCTTCAGGTAAGTCGCTTTCTCCCATCTATTGGAGGGAATAATAATGATGTCCATGCAGGGCAGGCAGTGGTGCTGAGGGTCAGGCATAGTGCTCACTTGTCACAGGTGCCTGACAAGTGACAGCAGTGAGCCTCTGGGAAGATGGGGTTTTCTCCAAGGTCAGTCCTGCACTTGCTGGGATGCTCATTCAGGGAGACTCAAATGCTGAAGTGTGGTCTCGCCCTAATTTCCCACTTCCTGGCTTGAGTAAATGATCTGTCTGCATTCCCTCCACACACATGTGCCCACATGCACACACACAGAGTCAGGAGTGTGACCAGGTGTTCAGGAATCTCCAGTCGGTCTCCTCCATTCCCTTAGTCAGAATGACACAACTCTCTCCACCGGGTGAGTGACAGTGGCAAGGACGGCGCTGGTTGTAGTACCTGTGCCTTCGCGTTTCACAGGGTAAGGGCCATTGCCTTCTCATGTTTGCCATGTGTGTAGCCATGAAGGTGAGAAAATAGAAATGAAGGATTGCAGATAATTGTGCAGAACTTAAAAACATTGTTTTACTGCCAGGAATTTTTTCCCACTTACGTGCAGAAGCCTGGCATGGGGCGTGAGGCTGGAGGTGGGGGTGGAAGCTGCCCCGAGTGTGTGAGAGGAACCACTGAGGAACTAGAGGACCACCGGGCACTTCTAGGGGATGAGGAGCATCTTAAAAGGAAGCATTTAAAAAGCCATTAAAGAGGAACACTAGTGAGTTGTCTGATGATGAGGGAGACACTTGGGTGCTAATACTGTGTGGCAATGATGGGTACACAGTTGTGTCACCTGGGTAAAGTTCACCAGGCAAGGCAGCCTGGGGGAGGGGTACCAGAAGGGGGAAGGATGCATTAAGTGGGTGTGTCAGAAAGCATCATAAAAAGCCTGTTCCGCTCCATGCTGTCTTCAAGTCCATTCCAGACTTTTCCCATACTGTCCCACTCCTGTCATGTGACTAGTGAAACCAAAAGTTGCATGGAGGTCAGAGCACCCTGTCTCTGTCCCCCTTGCCCAGCTGTCCCCTGTACTCTTTGTTTGGTGCTCTTGGCTTTGATTGCAGTCATTCATTCATTAGCTCAGTAACACTTCCTGGTCACCTACTGTGTAAATAGGAGTCACTCTTAAAGTGTGGTCTTCACCCTATGGCACAGTCCTGTGAATAGGCAGGGCTGAGTAGGACGCCTTACATTACAGTTGAGGACACTGAGGATGCACTGAGGGTTGTGGTGAAGAGCTTGGGTTTCTGGGGCGAGGTTCAAGGTGGGAGGCCTCCCCTCCCCCAGCCAGCTGTACCACTGACTAGCAGGATGGTGGCTGGGCACATTTTTTGACCTTTTCTGAGCTTGGCTGCCCCATCTGTAAAGTGGGAACCGCACCTAAAAGGTTTGTCGTGAGGATGAAAGTGGCAGTAGATGGAATGTTCGGTCCTGTGCTTCGGCCAGGCTTGGCACGTTGAAGGAATGAAGGAGGTTACGGGGTTGCAAGAAGCCGAGGAGGGCTGGAACCAGTGCCGGTGTGCCCGGGTGCAGGACGACCCCAGCGGGCGCGCTCTCCATCCCTCCCGCAGGTCGGCGCTGCTGGGCAAGGTGCTCCGCATCGACGTGGACCGCAATGAGCGCGGCCCGCCCTACCGCATCCCGCCCGACAACCCGTTCGTGGGTGATCCGGCTGCGCGGCCGGAGGTCTACGCTCTGGGCGTGCGCAACATGTGGCGTTGCTCCTTCGATCGCGGCGACCCGACGTCTGGCGCGGGCCGCGGGCGCCTCTTCTGCGGCGACGTGGGCCAGAACAAGTTCGAGGAGGTGGACCTGGTGGAGCGCGGCCGCAACTATGGCTGGCGCGCCCGCGAGGGCTTCGAGTGCTACGACCGCAAGCTGTGCGCCAACGCCTCCCTCGGTGACCGCCGCGCCCTCTCGGGGACCCCTGATCCCGGACCCACCCCCACCCTCCGCACTCGCTGTGCGACAGGGCTTCCCGCGCCCCATCCCTGCCCGGGCTCCTAGTCATCGCAGACCCTCCCCACCCCACCCCGTGGGCTGTGTGCCAGCGCCTTCTTCCTGTGACCTCCTGTCCCCACTCTGAACCTCCACGGTCTCGGGGGTCTCTCCCAAGCAACGCTCTTGGCTTTCTCCTTGCCCCACGCCCCTGTAATCACACCCTTCCTGCTCTTGTGAGCCTCCCTCCCCTGTCCCGCCCCATACGCACCGCCCCCCACCCCGTCACTGGCCCTCTTGATGACCTCCCATTCCCTTGTCCCTCTTGGCTCGGCTCACGGCTTGCTTGTGGGGAGGGACCCCATTTCCCACGAACGGAAACTGGCCTGGCAGAGAACCCGGTCGCCGCAGGCTCACCCCAGTTTTTCCCCTGATCTGCAGACGACGTGCTGCCGATTTTCGCTTACCCGCACAAGCTGGGCAAATCGGTCACAGGGGGTTATGTGTACCGTGGCTGCGAGTACCCCAACCTGAACGGCCTCTACATTTTTGGAGATTTCATGAGTGGGTAAGTGACCCACACCGTGAGTGCCCCCAGCTGCTGCCTCAGGCTCCCTTCCTACCCACACTATATTAAAAAGGAATGAGTCTGTATGTGTGTGCACGTGTGTGTGTGTGTGTGTGTGTCTGCATGCTAGCACCCAGGTGCACACCTGCTACCACAGAGTCCCCAGGTGAAGGACAAACAGGGGAGTAAGTCAGAGTCACCCTGACTCCCTCCCACATTATTCTGAACCTTGCTGGATGCCCTAGGCAGTCCCCAGTGAAGGACTTAAGTGCAGGTCCTAGATCTGTTCTCCCTCCTGAGACTCCTGGATTCCAGGCTTAACAGCTGTTCCAAGGAGCTTGGGACAGAACATGGACATTTCCTCTATACCTAGGGCCACCTCACTTCTAAGGATGCCAGGATCTGTCACTGCATCAGGTGGCAGAGTCTAGAGAGCCCTGGGCACCCCACCTAGTTCTCCTCACAGGGAGCATTGGTCTAAGTCCCCTTCCACAGGTTGGGAAACTGAGGTCAGAGAGGGAAGCAGCCCACCAGAGGGCGCCCTGCTGGGGAGAGGGAGAGCTGGAGGGCTGTCCAGGCCTGACCATCATGGCTGGTGGAGCCTTGCTGCTCTGCCTCCATGCTCCAGAGCAGTGCCACTCCGCCACTGAAACCCTAGTGTGTGTGCGTGTGTGTGTGTTGGGGAGGGGCTTGATGTTAGAGGAGGAGGAAAAAAACACACCCCAAAGCCAGCTGAGCTGGGCTCTGTCCTCTGCGGGGTTTATGGATACTAAAGATCACTTCACTGCCCATTGTGCAGAGGAGAAAACTGAGACCAGGGAAGTCATAGAACCTGACACCATGCTTAAAAGTGCAGCTGAATGGCCTGGGTTCAAATCCTTCCACTGACTGGCCACTTACCTTGAGCCACTTACGTCCCCTGCAAAAGGAGTGGACAGTAGCACCCACCTGCTAGGGTGTCTCAGAATGGACTCTTAGTAGCACAGAACTTAGAAGCTAGTCCAAACTCCATGTATGGTGGCTAATTCCCCACCCTGGCATCTATCTCCACGGGAGGGCAATTGTAAGAAAGTCGGAGGTTGGCTGGAGACTCCTCACCATGTGAAAGCTGAAAATGTTGTGTTCTCAGCCTGGAGCTGAGAGAGCCCATACCTGGGCCCTTGGATGCTGGATCTCCCAGCTCTCTCCTTCCTTAGGAACTCAGCTTTGCCATCTGAAAAATAGATATAGATGAAGTCTGTTTTACTTCTGATTCTCCTTCCCCAGGAGGGCCTAAGTCAATTCACCTAATTTTGCCAACATTTCCTGAGCACCAGGGCCAAGGTAACAGAAGTGAAGAGCATTTTGCACCTGAGTCAGGGACAGACCTGCACACAGTTTGCAGTAGTCACACCTCAGAGAAGCTGTGCCCCATGCTGGGAGCCAAGTGAAGGGACAATTAGGGAGGGCTTCTCAGAGGAGGCCAAGTTTGAGCAGGGTCTGCGATATCTGTAGGTGATTGACAAGCAGAGGAGGGAAGGGGCAAAATTAGCAAGTTTGAAGGATGCCCAAGCTCCGGCTTGTGCTCTGAAATGGAAGGCAATTAATAAAGGGTGTGTGCAGTACTAGGTGCTACCCAGGCTCTGACATGGAGGTCAGCTTTTGAAAGTGCTGCACCTCCTGCTATCCAGGGGGCTGGATTGAGCTGAAGAGCAGGGACCCAGTCAATCTTGTTCATCGCTGGGTCTCTCTGGGAAGTACTCAGTGACAGTCTCACCCATAGTCAGCTTCATAGATAGATAACCTGTGCAGCCACATGGGGCCCCAGGCACAGAAGGGCCCATACTTGGCTTAATGCTTTTGTCACCATCCTGAAAAATTTAATAATCCTTAGACAAGGGACCCTGCATGCTCATTTTGCACTGAACCCTAAAAACTAACATGTGGTCCTGGTTGCATGGATGAGATGAGTGGGAGGATGGGTGGGTGGATGGTAGATGGATGAGTGGGTGGGGGTGGGTGGATGGGTAGGTGGGGGTGGGGGGATGGTAGATGGATGGATAGATGGATGGACATGTGGATGGGTGGGTGGATGGATTGGTGGGTGAGTTCCCCCGCATACAATACAAAGCATGATTTCACAGCTCATCTTCCTTTGCAGGCGTCTGATGTCCCTCCGAGAGAACCCAGAGACAGGCCAATGGCGGTATAGTGAGATCTGCATGGGCCGTGGCCAGACTTGTGCATTCCCAGGCCTCATCAACAGCTATTATCCACACATCATCTCCTTTGCAGAGGACGAGGCTGGTGAGCATGCCTAAAGCTGGCTGCCCATGCCTGGGACTGGTCCATGGATCTTTCTAGTTTCTGATGTGAGGGATGGGATCTCAGGCCTGAGATGGCCTTCATGCTAGGGAAGGGAGGGGAGGTGGGAGGAGCATTCAGTGGGCTTGAGACCTTGCTTGTGCTCCCTTGGGTGAGCCCTTGCCTCTGAGCTTCCCCTCTGTCATCTGGGAAATGGGGGGTAGTGCCCCTACCCTGGACAAGGTTGCTGTGAGTGCTAGAGTGATAGCTAACGGGGTTAAGAGTCCACAGCTTTAGCAGGAATAGGAAGGATCTAGAATGTGGAATTGCAGGTAGGAGGGGAAGAGAGCAGCTCCAGAGACTGCTACCTCCTGGGGTTCCTAGTGGCAGATGTATTTGGGTCATTCAGTGAAGCCATGTCATCTCAAAGCCTTGGATGCAGCCTCCTTACATATTAGCGGCCCTGCATCCAGGCACTTGTGCTTTCAGTACAGGGAACCAAGGGGGGAGGGCTGAGGAAGAGGGGCTGCAGAGGCTCCTGCCTTTGTCCTTGGCCCAGGATTGTTTCTTGACAAAAGGTGAGGGCCCCAGTGGGCCTTGGTGGATTCTTGCCTGCCAGAGTTTCTAGGCAACGCCCACCCAGGGCCTTTGGAGGGGTGTCCCCTGCAGGGCCCAGTGCCCAGAGCCCCTAGGACTGAGTCTGGGAAACCTTTGTTGAACCGACCCCCCCCCCTCCCATCAGAATCTGAATTTCCAAAAGGGCAACCTCAGCTCCACTGCCATCCCAAGCCCACGGGGCCCTTGAAAGCTTTTTCTTTCCATCAGTAGGGGGTTCACATGTTTTAGAAGCAGCCCCTTCCCACCCCTAGATGCAAGAGTGGAAGAAAGTTCCCAAGACTCTCTTCAGCCCTTCTAGTGATTGATAGAAAACCAAAAGGAGGCGCCTGTGAGCTGGCCAGCCCAGGGACACAGGTACTAGTGCTGGGGCGGTATGGGCTGCTCCCAGCAACTGGCTGTCTAGTTGTTCTCACACTTGCAAACTGCAAAACAAGGAGCTCTGCTGGCCCAGCATCCTTCAGGGTGAGCCACACTGCAGAGACTGTGCCTGCCCCCTAGACAGGCTTAGGGGGCCAGCTGGGGTCCTTGCATATACAGGCCTTCCTGCAGATCAGGGCTGGAAGGAGCCCTGGAGTCTGCCTGGTCCAGCCCTCTCACTTTACACATAGAGAAATTGAGGCTGACTCTTCATACCCCGTGTTGAGGGTGGGCACGGTGCCCAAAGCAGGGGCTCAAGGTTGGTCAGCCAGATGAAGACATAGAGAAGTGAATTTGGGCCAAAGAAGCAGTAGGCAGGGGGCCTTGGGCCTCCAAAGGCTGGGAAGTGTTAGTGTGACAGCTTATAGCTGCGTGGCCAGAGGAGATGGGCTGCTCCTAGGACCTCTCTCAGAAAGAGGCCAGAGAGGGAGGTAGATAGCCCACAGGTGCTCAGGAAGTCACAGCTGCTCCAGTGGGACACGGTGCCAGGATACCCCACTCCTAGGCTGCATCATCACCCTGTAGACATATTACCCACCCCACCCCCCACTTCCCAGCAGGGTTGATGCTCCTGCTCTGTGGGTATTCGGGGACCATAGTCACTCGACGTCCTGTTTTCCTCATCCCCCAGAGCTGGATCCATCCCAGTTATAGACATCACCCCTCAAATTCTTCCCTTTGGGGAACTGCCCCAGTTTCCTGTCCCTTACTTCTCAGACCCCACCCCAACACAGCCCTCTGTGATTGCACTTGTCTTCAGAGTCATGCTTTTCTCCAAGTTACTACCTCTTTGTTTGTCTTGGCCTCTCCTTGGGGACACCCATGCCACGCTGTCTTCCCTCAGCCCTGGTTGAACGTTCTGCTCTCCTCTTTCAAAGGCAAAGGTCTTAGTATGGCTGAACTATCACACTGGGCCATGTGCAGTGTGTGTCTGGGCTCCCAGCCCCCAAGTATCCTCTACTGCTGTGGTCTTGAAGCAACTGACTTTGCTGAGTTCTGGGCCTGGTTTAACCATTTAGCAGCTGTGTGACTTTGGACAAATCACTTGACCTCTCTGAGTCTCTGTTTGGTCATTTGTACAATGGGAATAATGAAGCCTGTTTCCTGGGCACAGGAGTTCTGGGCACTGTGTAGCAGGGGTTTGGGGTAGGATGAGATGAGGAGAGCAAGGAGAACTAACATTCCTCTAGGGCCACCTTGCTCTGGGTGCTCATGTCACATTTCCACCACAGTCCTCAGCAGTGTGGTAAAAGTCTTAGAGTAGAGCCAACACAGAGTTGCCAGAGAGGTTGGGGTTTACACCCCTGGCTGGGAGGTGCCTGCTGTCAATGGGGAGAACTTGGTTTCAAGAGTTGGCAGGTTGGGGTCCTGGGTACTGAGGTAATAGCTAATAGTGATTGGCATCACTGTCTATTGTCTCAGTACCATAACAGCCCTACGAGAGGCATGCCCATTTTAAAGATTTGGAAGATGAGGCTCAGAGAGCCACATGGGCCTGAAGGTCATCAGATGGGGACTGAGCCATGAGCCCCATTTGCATCCAGGGGGTGTGGTGCTGGGCAGGAATCCAGATAGGGACCAGTCTTGGAACTGGACCAGTAGGAAGGAGCAAGCATGGAGGATAGAGCGTGGGTAAGGCCAGACAGTGTGACTGATGGCCTGGGGTCTGTGCTGCCAAAGCCTAGTAGAGTGCCTGGTCATCTCTCTGAGCTCTCCAGCCCTGTCCTAGGGACTGGACACCTGGGCTGCCCTGGTACACTCACCTCCGGACCTGTGGAGCCCTGACCCTGAGGGGAGCTGGGGGAGGCCAGGCTGACCTGGACGCTCCAAGCAGCCTTCTCACTTGTCACCTTGTTCACTGTCCGAAGGGGAGCTGTACTTCATGTCCACGGGTGTGCCAAGTGCCACGGCTGCACGTGGGGTCATCTACAAAGTGATCGACCCCTCCAGGTGAGTCCCCACACACGGTGCTGACCAAGCCTCTGCTGTCTGCCAGAAGAGCTTCCCTTCATTACATCACCATCCTCAAGTGGGGAGACTTGGCCTCCCCAATGTCCAGATGAGAAAACTGAGGACTAGAGAAAAGTGAGCTACACTAGGTTTGGGAAAGTTTCAAAATGTCTATTGCACTTTAAAAAAATTTAAAATAGTTTTAGATTCATAGATAAGTTGTAAAGATAGTTTTCTTTTCTTTTGCAGTGCTAGGGTTTGAACTGAGGGCCTTCACCTTGAGCCCTTCCACCAGCCCTATCTGTGATAGGTATTTTTGAGATAGGGTTTTGTGAACTATTTGCCCGGGCCGGCTTCGAACCGTGATCCTCCTGAGTAGCTAGGATTACAGAATTGAGCCATCGGTGCCCAGCTAGTAGTTTTTCTTACATCCCATATATCTAGGTCCCCTAATATCTTACATTATCATGAAACATTTGCCACACTAACAAACTACCATTGGTTCATTGGATCACCCAGCACATTTAGTCATCATCTTGGTCACTCTGTCTCCACTGGGCAACAGCTTCGCAGACTCTCCTTACCACCCTGGGTTTTTTTTTTTTTTTAATTACTATGATCACTTACAAAAGTACAAATATGCTAATTAACAACCTAACTTTTTGTCATGAAAAACATAAGCACTGCCTCCTTCCATTCCTCTGACCTGGTTTGCTGAAGTCATTCATCTTTTACCTGTGTGGTGCCAGGATTTATGTCCTTGTACCTGGACCACACACAGATCCGTTCTCTTCCTTGTTCATCTGTCCCCATTTATGTAAATGTTTCCATGTTGCAACCCTCTAAAAGAGATGGTTTTTAACCACTGGTCATTTTCTGCTGAGTCACTGAACCATCATTATCTTCCCTGTTCCTTGGGATTTGAGTTTATTCCTAGTTTCTTTTTTTTTTTAAACATGCTTCTCTAAAGAAACATCACATACATGGAACGCCTCATGCCTGCCAGATGTTGCTTTCAATGCGTCATCTCCATTGGGTTTTATGACATCCTCTCCCTCTTGGCCTGGCGTCCCTGTGTACATGTAGAGGGGACCCAATGAGACACGGGGGGGTTCACCTGCTCAAGGGCTTGGGGTCAGGAGGAGCCAGAAATGGGCTGGACTCCTTCCTGTTTCATTTTTCTCTTCTGCCATAAATGTGTTTCTTGGCACCCACACAGACTGCTTGGAGGCCAGTACCGAACATTTGGAAAATGAATGGAGAGAGGAGGGGGGTGGGGGTCACATCACCTCTCACTGCCCAAACACGACCACAGTAGTGTTTTTTTGGAGGGTGTACCCCCTACTTTTTTGCATACAAAAATTTTTAAAAATACGATTTCCTTAAGGAACACTCTGCCTGGCCTGTGTAAAACATGTGGATATCATCCAGGGGTCAGAGCTTTGAGAAGCATGTGCAGAGCTAGGTTTCTTCAGCCTCTGGGGGGAAAGGCCCGTGTCCCCTCTTCTGCCAAGACTGAATGGAGTCCACTCCGTGTCACGTCACGTGGCTGCTTCTCACCCCATGCTGGGAATCCTATTGAAGTCCTGGACCCACGTGGGGGCAGCCTGGGAACAGGGTCGGTCCCATTCAAAGAATCAGAGATCGACAGCCAAAAACTAATTAAAATGGAATTCCGTCCCTTCCTTGTGCCTTGGAGGATGGTGAAGGAGCCCGGCTCACACCCTGGCAACCCTTCTCAGACTCTGTTCTCTTGAAGTCCTCTGAAATCCCAGGCCCCTCAGCTGTGTCCTGCCTGCTGAGCCTTGCTTCCCATTGTCCCACTCTCCCACCCGCTTTGTCCTTTTGGCTTGCCTTGACATTTCCAGTTTCCTTCAGACCCAGGCAGTTCCAGAAATCCAGGAAACCAAGGAACAGGGCACAGAGAGACCCTCCTCAAAGGCCTGGGGATGGGAGGGCCAGGGGAGGAGCAGAAATGGGGGTGGGGGCAGTTACAGGAGAGGGACTGGCAGCATGGGGAAAGCCTTTTTGTGTCAGCAGGGACACAGCTTCCACGATGAATCCAAGTGGCTCAGGAGAGAGTGCTCAATCAACAAAGGCTTATATAGCAGAGGCTGCTGTAGGGCCTGCACACGCATCCTGGGTGCCTCTTAGAATCCTGGGGGGGGGAGGGAGGGGGATGGCGTGCAGGGATGCTGCAGGGCACGTAGTAGCAGGCACTCAGATTGTTCCTGACCACTCCTTCCAGGCCTTCCTTCCTTGCCTTGCTTGGAGGGGGCAGGGCAGATATCTGGGGACATACTCAGGATGGGCTCCAGGGTGGGACTCATGACTTCTTGTGTGTTGTTGGCAGACGGGCACCACCTGGCAAATGCCAGATCCACCCTGCCCAGGTGAAGGTGAGGAGCCGCCTCATCCCTTTTGTGCCTAAAGAAAGTAAGTGACCACCCCTGGGTTGCTCTATGTGGGTATGTGTGTTGGGGATGGAGGGGGAGCTCCTGCATCCTGCTGTCCCCTCTGGCCATACCTGGGACCATAGTGGGACCTAGATGCCCACCTAGCCCTGTGCTTGGCACACATGGGACACTCAGTTAAAGTGAATGGAGCTGTAACTAAAGTGGGTCTTGCTGGGCTCGTCACAACTGCTTAAAGCAGGTCCCAGGCATGAGCAAGTGTCTTCATGGGGCTGCGGGCACGAGGTGGGGAACAGCAAACAAAGGAATAGCCAGGCAAGGAATGTTCAGAGTTCTTGGGAGGCACAGAGAGAGGATGTCCTGGGGGCATTGGGTTGGGCCTTCCATAGGATGCTTCCATTTTGACAGGTTTGGTGAGGTGGGAGGGAGGGGTGAGCAGAGCCCCATGGCTTTGGCACCAGGAAAGGCTGTGAATGAGCACCCTGGGCCTGGGCCCTGTGAAAAGGCTGTGCCCAGGGAAGGAGCTGTTCCACTGGGAAGAAGCTAAGTGTGATAAAGGCCTGGTTTATGTAGCCAGACCTGCATCGAAAGAGATACAGGAAATCCACCCATTCATTCCTCTGTCCATCTGTCAGTGCATCATGCATCGTGCTTGCTTTGCACGCACTGGGGATGTAATGTAATGGAGCAACACATCTCTAATTAAACCTTCTCAGTTTGCTACATACAATCTTTCTACTGGAATATGTTGCAACTAGCTCAAAATTGAAAAAAAAAACAAAACACCTTGTGGGCCAGAGGAACTATTTCAGCAGGCCTAGCTGGCAGGTCACCAGCTGGTGGACTGGTGTGTATGGGGGCAGGGGTAGGAAGGGAGAGTTGGGCACCTGAGCAGTAGGGGTGTCCAGTGTGAAGAAGGGATGCCCTAGGAGAGGAGGGCTGAGGAGGAAGAGCTCTGGGTTGGAAGGCATTTCTGGCTGCAGTTGGTGTTGGGCTTGACAGCCTTTTCATTCACTCCTTCAGCAGCATCTGGCACTGTGTTACTAGTCACCTACTCTGTGCTGAATGCTGGGGCCAAAGGGACAAGTCAGACCAGGCCTGTCCAGGCTAGGACAGAGAAGTAATTTGGTGCTCCAGGCCCAGGAAAGAAGTGTATTCAGGTCCTGTAGAGACCCACCCAGGACTGTGCCTGAAGAGGAAGGGGAACTATGAGGCAAAGGGGGAGAGGTTGGTGCTATGGCGAGGGGAGCGTATAGTCTAGGTAGAGGCAGCCACAGGAGTCAAAGCCAAGCAGAGCACCTTGCTTGAATCATGGTGTTCCTGGCCCTGGCTTGCACTTGGCCTTGTTACAAGAGCCACTTTCTCCGCCTGTCTCAGTGGTTTTCAAAGTGAGACTGGCTGAAGCGGGGTAGGATTATCGGGATTTGGGAGTTACCTCCCAGTGGTAACTAACATGTTGATCTGGGCTTTCAGCTCTCCTCTGAGAGCTATCAGTGAGGGCAGTGCCTGGCACCTGGCACTGCACTCACATAGTATCTTCATGTTGCTGTGGCTGACACAGGCCAAATGTGTCCCCACATCATTCAGGGACAAGAGGAATCAGCCATCTCAGTCCCCCGCCCACTGTGGCCAGGCCCTGTGGTAGGGTGTGATCTGTGGGAGTCCTGTGATGTTCCCTGCCCCCTTAGCTCTGATCAGTGTGGATCCAGACACATACCTTGAGCACTCCCATCCAGCCTACTGTGAAAGGTGGCAAGGCCATTGGCCTTGGAGCCTGGAGGAGAGTCACCCTGGCCAGAGGTGTCCTGAGGTGGTCCGGTTCCTATCCTGCTAGCCACTGGCTACCTTAAGACTCTCAGAAACTCATGTCATGCCTCCCTGTGGCTTCTGCTTCCTCACCCTAAAAACCAAGGACCAGAAGCCTTCCAGACACTTCTTCCTTCTCACTGCTCAGAGGTTGCAGGGTCTGGCCTGGGAACTTCCAGGAGAGCAGGGCTGGGGTTGGGGAGACCCAGCAGGAAGCAGCTGCCAGGCAGTGTTTGCTGAAGAAGCATCTTGTGCAGCTCCAGGCTATCATTCTATGGGGCCAGGATGACCCCAGGCAGCACCATGGTGTTGTAAGAGGCACCCTATCTTCAGGGTGGGGGGTACACAAGGGACATCATTCCCTTCATAGTCTGGAGGGAGGCAGGGAGGGGAAGTGAACTGGGCTGGGGCAGCCAGGTCCTCTGACCACGTGCTCTTCCTCTGCTCAGAGTTCATCCGGATACCAGGGAACACCCCGCGGCCCACAGCGCGCTTGCCTACCAAGGCGCCCCGCCGTAGCAGCCCCACTGCCCTACCACCTGCGCCTACTCCACGGCCTGCCCAGCCCACCCGGCGGCCCGCCAAGCCCACCCGGCGACCAGGGGGCCGGAGGGGCGGCGGGCGGCAGCGGGGACGGCCGGGCTCTCCGGGACCATCGCCCTCGAATGGCACAGTGCGTCTGGTGCGGCCAGCTGGCCTGAGCACTGGCCGAGGCCGGGTGGAGGTGTTCGTGGGCGGAAGCTGGGGCACGGTGTGTGACGATGCCTGGGACACCAAGGCCGCTGCAGTTGTGTGTCGCCAGCTGGGCTTTGCTCACGTGGTGCGAGCCACCAAGCGCGCTGAGTTCGGAGAGGGCCGGACGCTGCCCATCCTGCTGGATGACGTGCGCTGCACGGGCAGCGAGCACAGCCTGCTGGAGTGCACTCATGCTGGCGTGGGTACGCACAACTGCGGGCACCAGGAGGACGCGGGCGTCGTGTGCAGCCACGAAGACCCGGACTTGTAGGCAAGCCTCGGCTGCCCAACTAGAGTCTGCCAGGGCCTCTTCTGCCTGTGCGCGCTGGTGCTGCACACATATCCTTAAGTGGTGGTGGCGTGGGTGTGGACTAAGAATTTGCCGGTCGGCAGAGCTGTCCTTTTGGACCTGTGTGAATTGTGTTTGGTGCACCCTTGTCCCTGTTATGTGCCTTCTACAGACCTGACACCAGTGTGTCTTGGGTCAGTGTGGTGTCCCTGGATGTGTATGGTCAAGAGGAGCTATTTTACCTCCATACATTCCAGAGAGCTGCAGGAATGTTGGCGATCCGTTGTGGAAGCCCAAGGACAGAGGGCAGCCACCATCCTTCAAGAGCAGACATGGTCCCCTGGCCACATTAACTGAGGCACTGCTGGCAGACTGAGGGAAGGGGGCAGGAGTAGAGGGTGCCAGACCAACTGGAGCATGGTCAGAGGAACATGGTCCAAAGAGTGTGGACTGGTGACCCTTCAGTTCCAGACACTGGACAGAACAAGAAGGCAGTCTGTGAGGCAAAGACAAGCCTCTTTGGACAGGTCCAGGGTGCCCTGTGGCCATGGCTGCCCACCAGAGGGTGAGGCTGCCTGGGAGGAAGTGAGTACCCACCTCAGGGGAGGGCTGGTGGGTTCCTAGAGGACTTCTGAGGCCATGTGCCAGGAAGCCTTCTGGTTATCCAGACCTCATCATCATACCAGGCCCATGTGGGCACTCTGGGGAGGCTGCCCCTCCAATTACCTGGGCCCCAGTGATTGTACGTGTGTGTGTGGGGGGGGAGCATCCTCTACTTGCAGTGCTGTGTCTGGACTTTTGAGGCCACCTCTGACATTTCTCCATCTGCACCCCTGCTCTGAAATCCCAGTGGACCCATAGATTCTTCCAGCCCTACCCAGGGGCTGACTGGCCTGTGGGGCTGGTGAGACTACTAACACTTTATCACCAAAGCTGTGCCAATAATGTCACCCCCCCACCCCCTGCTACTCCCCACCTGCTTGGGAGCTGGGTTGTGAAGTGAGGGGACAAGGAAAAGGGAGTCCAGCCTATAACCTCCCTCCTGCTCCGTAGGCAGGAGTTCCCTTACCAGCTAAGGATCTCAGCCTCGGCCTGGGAGATCAGGACATCTGGGGTCAGCTTAGGGGCAGAGATGTGGAAACAGCTGAGTCACAGACAGGACAGGATGTGGCCTGACTTGGGGTGGCAAGGATTCTGGGTGAGACTTCCTGACCCAGCCTTTGCAGGAAGAGACCCTGCCTGCACGGAGTTGTGAGTTGAATCAGCCCAGGGCAGGGGTGGTTGTGTGCCAGGCAAAGGATCTGTTCAGGGGCTGGGGGGGTTGTGGTCTGCCCCCAGCTCATTGCAGCTGAGCGTGGCTTCCCGAACTGTGGAGGGAGCTTGAAGGTCACCCTTGCTAAACTGAAACTCTCCATGTTGAATGTTCTCAGAAATAAAAGGAGTTGTTGAACTGTTGCGAAGATGAAAGAAAAAAGAAAAGACCATATTTGGTGCAAAGCTTCGCAGCTGCAGCAACAAGGTGCAATAGCAGCTGGAGCCCATGTTGTCTGCACCTGGGACAAGGAGCATTCTTGAAATGGAGATGGGGGAGCGAGGCTCAGGCTGTCCACACTGAGTCAACAGTGGTTATAGATGCAAGGGGTGGCATAACCAGAGTGGGGAGATTTGGGCTTGATGGATTGTCCATTAAGGAGATACACTTGGTGCTTGGGGATTGGTTAAGGCTAATAGTTGAGAAAATTCAATGGCCCCTGATGTTTGGTAAGCTGCGGTCAAGTTGAGTCAAGCTGGCCCAGGAACATTCCTACTTTCGTTTATTGATTCACTTCCTCTGTCTCCTCCTCTCTCCATCTCCCACCTTTTTCGATTTAATTCTGGACCTCTCAGAATTTTTCTTCTGTTGCCCTCTTGGACTCTTCATACTGAGGGGTTGGTGAAGGCCCTGGTGGCTTATCTGGCCTGGCTGAGCTGTTTGTAGAGGTTGTGATTAGCTCTGCTGTGGAGTGTGGCCTGTATGTCAGGCACAGTTGTCAGGAAGTATACAGCATGGATTACAGAGCAGAGACTTGAGTCTCATGACAGCTCTCATCTCTGCCTTTTATAGAAGGGAAAACTGAGGGGCACAGAGGTTAAATATCTTAGTTGAGGTCACCTTGCCAGGGAGAGGAGGAGCCAAGTGGGCACTGACCATTGTGCTACCTGCCTTAAGTGTCATTGTGTCCACAGAGAGGTATGACAACTCAGCCCCAGGGACAACAGGACCCCTGTACAGTGTGGGCTACCAGGCTGTCTGGGAAGCAGATGGTGATCCCTGCAGTACCTCCCCCCACCCCCGGCCACCAGGACTGGGGAGCTGCTGTCTCCCTGCCCCTCTTAGGCCTTGGAGGCAGGGAAATCCAGAACAGTGGTAGGAGGTACATAGTCCTCCATGAGGTGATCATCCACATCAAACTCCTTACTTTGAAAATGGGCAAACCAGCCCAGGTAGGCTGAGTGTCCCAGGCTTGTCACCAGGCAGGGCCAAGCTGAGAGTAGAGCCCAGGAAAGTGCAGTAGGTGCTCCTGGAGGCCCCCAGACTGCAGCAGCAGCATGACCTACATGCCAGGCCCTAGCAAGTATTTTGCAGAGGGTGAGGTCCTCCAACCCGCTCCCCCTCCCCCCCACTGCTCCTATGCACTGCTGGTCTCTGGATTCTGCTTCTCAGGTCCCTGGGCAGCTCAGCTGCAGCCCCCTCCACCTGAGGGGGAGGTTGCCTTGCCAACAGTCACCATTCCTTCAGTGGTAATAAGGGTAGATGGCTGACGCCTGCTGAGGTGCTCCATCTGCCAGGCTGTGTTCTTAACATTTTGCATTTTAATTCACTCCTTTAATCCACATAGTAACAACTGGAGGCAGATGCTCCAATTACACCTTCCCCCATCTTACAGACATGAGAGGTTGTTACTTGACAAATGTCACTCAGCCAGTATTTGAACTTGAACCCAAGCAGTATGCTTGGAGCTCCAGCTGTGGGCAAGCTTGCTGTGCTATCTCAAGTGGCTGTGCCCCACTCCCCCCCTCCTCCCCCCACCCTGCCACTGGGGGAGTATTCCAGATGACTTTGCCCTGGGCACTTCCATTGTGCCTTAGAGATCCCAGGCTGAGGGCTGAACTGGCCCAAGACCTTCTTTCCTCCCTTCCAGCCCCCCCCCCCCCCCGCCTCCCCATCTGCATCCATAATCTAGATTGAGTCAGGTTCCCAGAAAAGGGCTGCCTCTGCCCAACATCACATAGCTTAGTTCAGGATTGCCTGGTCCAGTGCTGCAGGGATAGACAGGTGTGGACCTGCATCCAGGAACACCAGCCTGAAGTCACAACTTCAGGTTCCCAGGTGAGCCTTGCTTCTTCCTTGTTCACTCTGTCCCTCTGCCCCCAGGTAGGGCAGGACCCTGAGTGGCCTCCCTTCTCCTTTGTCCTTGGCAGCCTTAGCCTGTTTGTTGGGAACCCTCCAGCTTCCCAAGGTACCTTGGCCTGTAACCTTGCAAATTTTTTTCCCTTTATTCATTTATTCATATGTATATACATTGTTTGGGTCATTTAACCTTGCAAATTTTTGACTGGGATGTTTCACTAGAAGGTTTGAAGAGCCTGGCATCCTGTTTCCAGTCCTGGCTGTTTGACTTTGGGGCAGTCACTTAACCTCTCTGAGCCTCATTGGGAAACAGGGAATCAGAAGAATACAAAAATGAGGCAACATTGCAAATGTGCCCAGCATGTTCCAGGTGGCTTCCCGGACAGAAAGCTCAGTACCAGGCTGGTGGCATCCATGCTGGCAGTTGCCAACTGTGCCAGCCAGAGGGAGAGGTGCATGACATATGGAGAGATCAGCATTGGAATGAGCTGGAAATAATTCAAAAATGGGAAGAAAATGAGTCCCTTGAGACTAATATGGAGAACCCACATCTTCCTGTTGGGGCATCTGCTCTCCCACCCAGAGCTTGCTTTTATGGAGCACTTACTGCATGCCACGTGCCTTAGGTGTGTTGGCTTATTTCATCCTGACACAATCATCATCCCTCTTGTCCATCCCCATAGTAGTCATGAACTGTTCTCCAGGGCTTTGAGGAGCTGTGATCAGAGACTCACCTCCCAGCACCTGATTCTTCTCTTTCCCTTGGCTCCCACGAGGCAGCCACTCCAGAGCCTCCTTCTGCTCCTCCCCTAGCAATTCCTGCCAAGAAACTGCTCCCTGTGTGGCATAGCAAACTGCTCCCTGTGTGGCATAGCTACACTGGCAGTTTGTTTGCAGCCTTGAGCAGAATCACCTGTGGGGCTGCTTAACACAGGTGGCGAGCTTACCTCAGTAGGCCTGGAGGGGCAGAGGGTTTGCTGCTCTAACTTGTTCCTGGGCCAGACCTTGAGACTCATTGTTCATGCTAACACTGTTCAGTAGAAGCATGTGAGCCACACAGGCAATTAAAAAATCTCCAGTAGTCATTAGAAAAGTGAAGACACAGGTGAAGTAATTTTAATAATGTATTTAATCCAATATTAAAAATATAATCATTCTAACAAGCAATTGATATAATATTAATGACTAAAAAACTTTCTGGGTATTAAATTTGTAATTTGTACTAGCCACATTTCAAGTGCTGGAGAGGAACAAGTGGCCAGTGGCTACCATATTGGATTGGGTTAGCCTAGACTGTCCAGTGTAGGGCCAGGTGGTTGGCCATGTGCCTCCATGCAGCCCTCTGCTGGCAGCTGGTGGTGCTGCCTGCCCAGGGAAAGGGCCTTCTGTCCTGGGACCCAGGGCCTTGGTCTGCAGCCTGTGTTGTTCCTACTTGGTTACAGGGGACACTAAGACAGAGTGGATGTGCTGCCTGGGACAGAGGAAACTACTGACTCACTCCAGTAGGGGATAGGGACTGCTCTGGAGACAGAAATACTGGGATGAACCACGGTCATGCTGAGCCAGAATCACTAGTGTTGTCTGATGTGGCAGAGAGTATCAATACCCACTCCTTTCCTTAGCCCTGCGTGGACAGGGTCAGGCTAGCAATTGTTCCCTGAGACTGCTTTACAGTTGCTCACATGGGACTCCAGACTGTGCCCAGAGCTGTTCAGGACTACCTGTCCCTGTCCCCAAGGAACCATCCTTCAGGGTACAGAGAGACAAGACAACATGAAGTCAGCTCCACACACACTGATAATTTTTAAAGTGCAGCATGGTTATGCCACTTTTCCTTTTCTAGCCAACCTTCCCAACTCACCTGAAAGCATGCAAGAAGTCTACACTCTCCGTCCCGCAGCTTCATTTTCCTTCCACACTGCTCCCAAATCCGGAGTTTTCAGAGCCCGCAAGGGGGGCGGACCTCGCTGCTTCCCTCCCATTCCCCCAACGGGGCCACCTGAGGTCTCCCGGGCGCGCCTGAGACTGCTTCTCGCTGCCACACGAGGGCGCGGTGGCAAGCAAAGTCCCCTAGGCCGACTCCGAGGTTGGTCAGGTCCCTGTGCAGGAATGAATGCCTGGCAGCGGAACCTGACCAGGCTGGAGACAGATCCTGGAGACGGAAATCTTGCCTCCTCCGTACTACACACAGCTCTTAAAGTCTGACCCTTTCTGTCACCCCACAGCCCACACACCTGTAACTGCCATGTTTCTGGTGGGCTCTGGCTAGACCTCCCCAAGACCAGCCTAAGGTGTAGGCTAGTGTCAGAAATCCAGACACATCCAACCTCTTCCGGTGCCTCCTCCCCAGCCTGGGGGATCTTTATCTGGTCACCCTTGGCCCTCCAGATCCACTGCTGTCCCTCTAGGTGACCCTGGGGATGGGGTCTTCAGTCATACCCAGATGGGTAGGAGAAACCGGTTACTGTTCCAAACTACCCTTGGGCCACCCCGGGTACGCTTCTTGCTTTCCCTTGGAGATCCGCCTTCCGACCCAGATTTTAGCCACTCCAACTCCCTTTCCTTCGGACCTGGGCCCACACTTCGGACCGGGACTTTCCTGGGCCTGGGAGGCTCCGGCGGCGCCCGGGACTCCGAGAGAACAGCCTGGGGTTCCAGTGTGCCTTCATCTGCAGTCTCAGGCCTCCCTGCGTCCCGCTGGGTCCTTGTCAGCCGCCTCCGGGCCCCGTGGCGCTCAGAGTGGACAGGCCGGCAGAGGAGGCGCCTGCGGGAGGACATTTAGGAAAACCGACTTTGGAGAACTGAGGGTGCAGGGAGAACTGCTTGGGAGCAGTCGGCGTAGCATGGGTATTTGATGGCTAGGATGGGGTTTCCAGAAGGTTTGGGAGAGACAGAAAAGGGGCCTACGAGCGCGCGCTAAGAGACGCCGTTATATGGAGGCGCCAAAGGGGCGGAGCTAGCTGGCAGGACTTTGAGCTGCCGCGGGGCAAGAGCTGAGGAATCAGGGTTGCCAGGGACGACGCGTTCTGGGCGGGGCTGATATTGGGGCGGAGTCTGAGTCTAAAAGAGGCGGGGAAGGGGCGGGGTTTTGGGGGGAGGGGTGTGAGTCAGAAGGGAAGTTTTAATTGGTGAAGACTACCTGCTCTGGGCGGGGTCTGGGCTGGGGCGGTGTGGAGGCTGGGGCGGAGCTCTTGTGGGGGCGGGGCTGTCCGGGGGCGGGCCCTGCGAGCCAGAGCCGGAGGCGGAGATGTGGTTGGCGGTCCGCGCGGCCGGGGAGGGGTCGAACCGGCGGGGGCGGAGCCGAGAGGCGGGGGCGGTGCTGGGGAGCTCTGGGCCTGGGGCCGAGGCGGCGAGCGACGCTGACAGCCGAGTCGGCTCGCGGCCTCCCGCCCCCTCGGCACCTGACGCCGACCCCGGCCCGGCCTGACCTGTAACCATGAGTCCCGGGTTGCTGCTGCTCGGCAGTGCGGTCCTGCTCGCCTTCGGCCTCTGCTGCACCTTCGTGCATCGCGCTCGCAGCCGCTATGAGCACATCCCCGGGCCGCCGCGGCCCAGGTGAGCGGGAGGTGGGGGCGGGGGCCTGGATGGGGCGCTCGGCTGGGGGGCCAGGGGATCGCTTCTAAGCTCGCGTTGGGGCCAGGGGTCCAGCCTCTTCTGCGCGCGGCAGCTTGGAGACCGAGGCCGGGAGAGGGGCGCTAACTATTCTTAGTAACAAATTACTCACAGCCGCGGCAGCTGCTGGGCGCCCACCGCGCTCGGCTGGGCCCCACAAACGTGATGGCAGCAACAGCCCTGTCAGGTAGGTGCTATTGTTACCCCATCGATCAGACCAGGAGACTGAGGCGCGCAGAGGCGAAGTCACCTGCCCAAGGTCACCCACTTGGTAAGCCTAGATTTAAACCCAGGTCAGCCTGACTCCAAAGTGGGTGTTCTTAACTTTGGGACTCGGACAGGGTCACCTGTCCAAGTCCAGATACACTGTTTCTGGTCACATTCCCTTGTGTCTGTTTCTGTCCTGGGATATCCCATTTGTCCTCTCAATACCTCCGCTCCATTCTTGGCCCCCACCCAATTTACCACCCCCCAACTAGAAAGATTGCTTTCTGAAGCTTAGAGTAGAAGTGCCATTTCCCTGCTCCAAGGGCTCTCTGTCACTTTAGAACTAAAAAATCCAATTCCAAACTAAGTCTACTGCAGGGCCAGCCAGGCCCCTGCTAAGTTCTCAGAGCCCACTTGTACCCTTCTTGTCCTTTTTGCTTACTGTCTTTGCTCCCTTCCCCTCCCCCATCTTTCTATCCCCCTTTCCAAAGGCACAGAAGACTTCTTCCTGTGCTCAAAGGCACAAAAAAGGCCATCTCCATCTACCCTTTGTAAAGCCACTCAGTCCCAGCTCCTCACGGGGCCATCACCTCTTAAGTCACCTTCTTTCTACCTGTTGACTGCCTGTCCACCTGTTGACTGTCTGTTTCCCCCTTTAGAATGTGAGCCCCAGGAGGGCAGGGATGCTGTGTGTTTGCTTGTGTATCCTCAGTGCCTGGCATGTTGCAGTTGCTCAATAAATACTTGTTGAATGAACGAATAAACAATGGTATTAGACACACTTTTTAAACCCTCAGGACATGAACATTCTGGAAGGCATCCGTCTCCAGCACAGAAGCCTGAATTTCTGCTTGGTGGGCTCAGGAGTGATTTCTGTGTCTGGTGACATAGGGAGACAACTGTTCTCCCCACTGGCTCTCTGCCCTCCCTATGCCCTCTCTGACCTTGAGGGTCTTCCTGGGACCCCTTTTCCCTTGCTTAATTGCTCTGCTTTCCACTTCACCTAGGTGGATCTTCCCCCAGCCATCCAGGCATGGCTTATCCTCCTGCTCAACCCATGAATGTGTATATAATATTCATTCTATAAACCAGTAAGTGACTGTGTAATTCCGTCACAGCATAATGGTAATTGAGTAATTATTTGTGCAACCTCTTGCTAAGTGTCTGTCCCCCCATGGGTCCTGTGTCTTGTCTCATTCACTGCTCTGTCCCCAGCATCTCCCACAGCAGAACGTGGCTCGTGCACTGTAGAAACTCAATAAACAGTGATGAAGATTGAACGATGGAAATCTCCATGTTCTGTTAGGCACACTATTGCTTTTTCCTGTTTTCAAATCAGTCAGCTGCTTGAAAACGGTGGGTTTTGTGTTTGTTCTGATGAGTCTTGACATCACAGGGCCCTCTCATGAGTTGAAAGGTTTCAACCATTACAACCTTCTGGGGTCTGTGTCTGGAGAAAGCAGAACTAAAACCAAGCCCCTCTCCCCACATCTTTTCTAAAAAATTGAGATATAACTTGCATACCATAAAGTTTACCCTTTCAAAGGTACAATTCAGTGGTTCTTTAACATGGTCACTGTGTCGTACAACCATCACCACCAATTGCAGAAATTCCTGTCACCCCAAGAAGAAACCCTGTACCCATTAGCCGTCACTCCCCACTCCCCACTCCCACATGCTAGCACTAATGTGCATTCTGTTTCTGGATTTGCCTATGCTGGACATTTCATATAAATGGAATCATACAGTATGTGGCCTTTGGGTCTGCCTTCTTTCCCTTAGCATAATGTTTTCAAGGCTCATGCAGGAGGTAGTATGTGTTCATATTCCTACTCTTTGTATGGCTGAGTCCTCTCAGTCTCTTACACCTGTGACCTACAGGTGTGTGGGAGGGTGGAGGAGTGGGAGGAGGCTGTTTATACTCACAGTTGGGCTCTTTATTCTAAGGAGGGAACTGAACAATGCATCTGTAAAAAGATTTTTGATTCATACTTGGTTGGCAGTCAATAAATGAAAATTCTGGAACCTCTTCTAACACAAATCAGATGCTCTGGCATTGAAAACCTAAATTCTCAAACCATGGGATTGGCAATCCCATGGTTGACAAGAGACCTTTGTGATGAGTCTCCGGTGGTGGCATTTGTCTGTTGGTATTCTAGCCAGCTTCTCTGCTACGCCCTCACCTACCCTCCATCCTCCTTATTCTGCAGGTGGCCCTCTCCTCCAAGATGCCCTCCCTGAGTACCCTTTCTCTGTGCTCTTATTACAGCATCCATGGAACGGCTGAAAACTTAGGCTCTACATTCAGATCCCACACAAACACTTGTTGCTTCTTTATTTCCCCATCCTCACTGCTCTAAACTTCCTCATTGATTCTGCCTTCCTGGTAGTGTGCAGTGGATGTAAGCTTGATGATGAAGAGTTTCTTTCTCTCTCTCCTGGTTTTTATTTATTTTGGAAAACACTTTTTGACTTTGTCTCCTGGACAGTGCTAGTTCTCTTCTCCCACTCTGAATTGCCAGTTTGCCCAGGGTGGGGGATATTCAACGGGAGCAAGGGGGTCCTCGCCATGGAGGAGTCCACTGCTAGCCCTGTTAGGTGGTATTTCCAGTGGATTTGGGGTGCCCAAAAGAGCACTCACCACCCCATTCCTCTGGCACGAGGCAGTCATGGCCCTCACCTTCACACTTACCCTTAGAGGGTGCCCCATCCTCAATCATTATGGGTACTTCCTTCATCCCTTTGGTGGTCTCGCAGTGGGCCCTCCTGATGACCCCTACTGTAGTCACTGTCCAAGGCTTTCTCTGCCCATAGGAATCCTTGAATTGCCACTTGGCCAATCTCAGTGCTGTAGGAAAGTGGACAAATGCCAGACAAGGGAATCTTTACCTTGCCTTCTCTCCCTGGACTGCTAGCCATATCCAGTCTATTATAGGGGCATGACAAGAAGTAGGCTTCTATCTGTTAGGGGTTCTATGCTACAATCCCAGTATTTTACCTACCTCCCCCACCCCCATTTCTAACTGTTCTCCCTTCTTTATCTTCCTCCATCGCCCCCTGGAGGAACAATAAGGAATGGATCTTAGTTCTCTTTCTTTCTTGCCTGGCAGTGGGAACTCACCCCACTCCTTGTCCTCTGGCTTCTTGTGGTGGCACTTAACTTCCTTTCCTGGTGCACCCAAGCAGTTAGGGTTAGGGTAGAGACTCTGGGGTCCTAGGAGCATCCAGACTCACTCAAGTGACTCAAAACTGAGACCACCAATCCCCCTGCCCCCCAACACACACAAATAGTTTGGGGAGTGACATTGAGAATACTAGATTATTCTGGAATTACAGACAATTGTGTGTGATTTCCAAGGTTCTCCTTTCTGCAAGGGGAGCTACATAAGTTCAAGTTCTCACCTGGAGTGGCCTCTTCCGTCCCTACCCTACACTTCCTGCCCCAGTGCATTTGCCCGCCCCCTCTCCTGACGGCTTTCTTGCCTTCTCTCAGTCCCAAAGCCTCCCCCTCCATCCTCATGCTCAGCCTTTATTCTTGCCTCCTACTTCCCTGAGCAAATAGAGCACCCGGAGAAAACGTCCGGGCTTCGCTGCCACAGCTGCCCACCCCTGCCCTGGGCCCAACGGGCATCTTCCAGCTGCCCTTTCAGATGGACACTGGTGTCCTGACTAAGGCCAGCCTGCCCCCTTTGCTTAGCAACGCTGCCCTTGAAGCACCCCCACCCTGCCCACGCCATCAGTTTTCCTTCTCTTTTACATCATTCGCACTTTTATATAACGTTCTGTATGAAGTTCCGGCTTGGAGAAACCTGTCTCTTCCTCCTTTTTCTGCCCCCTAACTCCTGTCCCCAACAGTAGGCCCCCTGGCAGACACTTGCCCTGGGATTCCAGGCTGACCCTCCTGCTCTCTCTTGAACCCACCACCTGTCGGGCTCCTCCATCCAATCTGCCTCGCTCAAGTTCCCAGTGATCTCCTTGTTGCTGAAGACAATGTCAGCCCTCAGTCCACATGTCACCTGGCTGCCCCTCAGCAGCCCAGCTGGAGGCAGAGCAGAGCCCATCCTCCTCCCTCTCCTGCTCTCCTCCTTCCTTCCCTGCAGCTCCTGCCTGGTCTCCTTGTCCCTTTGGTACCTGACCTTTTTGTGATGGCCTAACCTTTCGTCCTCTTCTCCATCTCACTCAGTGGCTGGCCTGGAAATAGCACCTCTGAAGTTTAAAACAATTTCTCTAGCTAGTTCTGGACTCTAGAGGTCATGGCTCCCTTCCCATTTGATATTCCCTTTACATATCCAGTGGGCACCACAAACCTTGCTGGTCCTAAGCCACGCTTCTAATTCTATCCACTTGTCTCAGATTGTTCCCCTGAAGTCAGACCTGAGGCATGAAATGGAGTATAAGTAATTTATGGGGTGAACTTGGCTCCAGGTTGGGGTGGGTGTGGATGGAGAAAGAAGGTAAGAAAGTCCTCCTGTGGGAAAATGGAGGCACTATTGTCCTGGGAACGCTGAGGGCTGTGTAAAGCACATGCCTAGAGCTACCCCAGCAGAGGTGGAGGGAGCAAGGTCACCTGGTGGGGCTGCTCCACAGTGTACCTTTTGGAACTTGAGTGATAGAGGGCTGAGTTGCACAGGATGAGCACAATGACATCTGCTGCCCCCAGGCTCCTTTCAATCCAGGTAAACAGCAGCTGCTCCCCCCAGAGTCATCCTGAAACCCCTCACTAGCCCATTGACTCTGCTGTCAAGGACGTTCAGAATCAGACTATTTCTTCTTCTTCTTCTTCTTCTTCTTCTTTTTTTTTTGGCAGCACTAGGGCTCGAAATCAGGGCCTCACACTTCTTAGGTAGGCACTCTACCACAGACTTCTTATCACTACTCACCCTGGTCAGGCCTTCATCAGCTTCCACAGACCCTCACTGGTCCCTGCTGTCCATGCGTTTACCCTGGGTCCCACCCCACTTGTTACTTTCAGTATTGCTGCAAAAGAGATCCATTTAAGCTCAAGTGACACTCCATCTCTGCTCTGCTCAAAACCCTCCAGTGGCCCGATCTCACTGAGGTCAAAGCAAAACTCTGGACAATAGCCCAAAATGCCCTATGTAATCCGCCCCCAACCTTGGTGACCCTGTCCTGTACTGTCTTCCACGTAACCACTGCTCCAGACACACGGATACTGTCCCACCTACCACAGGACCTTTGGACATGTTGTGTGGCATGCTCTTCCCTCAAATACCTATGTGATCAAATCCCTCACTGCTTGCAGGTTTCAGCTCACAGGCACCTTTCTGCCTATGTAAAATGGCCATTCCCTTCACCTGACCCCAGTGGTGTATTCTATTTTTTCTCCAACACTCTCTGGCATCATTTTGTTATTTGTTTATTTGTTGTGCATGTCTTCCCGGGAGAATGAGTTCCACAACCCAGAAAATTTCCATTTTAATTTCATTGTTACCCATTTGGTATGCTGCAGTGAATAGGATGGAATAAAATCAGAGCAGATTGTAATGTGTGTCAAGGTGGCACCAAACGGGCTTGCCTACAAACCTGGTGACCACAGGTTTGAAATCCCTGTGCCTGCTGTGCAGTTATGGGCAAGTGGCTTCACCTCGCCAGCCTCTGATGAGATGGTCAGTAATACAGAGATTGACCAAGTGGTGCAGGAGGACAGGTGGGGTGGGGCTTAGCACGGGGTCAGGCACATAGTATGCACCCTGTGAATGTCCGAAGTGGCTCCATACAATATTACTGAGCACTTTTCCTGGACATCTGGTTGGGGGCAGAGAGAAATACAACTGTCTCCTCTCTCAGGAGGCCTTGGGCATGAGTTGGATCTGTATCTGCAGTCTATCTGCATGGCTGCCTGTGACCTTGGGCCCCCAGCCATACCGTCCTGTGCCTCAGTCCTCCTATCTATGAAGTGGACCCGTGGGGGCACTCCTTAATGGTGACTGCTGCTGAGCCTAATGTTTTCCATTGCTTCTAGTTTCCTTCTAGGACATCTTCCCTACTTTTGGAAAAAGGACGAGGTTTGTGGCCGTGTGCTCCAAGATGTGTTTTTGGATTGGTGGGTTCTAACTTGTCATTTGTTGCCCTTACTCCAGGTCCCCTAGGGGAAGCTCACCCCACCCAATCCAACATGCAAACTCCCAGTACCTCCTACCCTGGTCCAGTCCACTCCCAGCCCCCTTACCCTGACCCAAGCCTCTCTCCAAATCCCCTACCCTGACCAGGCCACTCCTGGCCCCAGCAGTTCTACCCCCGAGAGGAGAGGCAGATGAGGAGGGTTTGGAAACCATGTTCTGCCACTCACCAGCCGAGGGATCTCACACCAGCCATCAGAAGCTCTCTGAGACTCAGTTTTCTCATCTGTGAACTGGGTGGGGATTTACTCACTGTGATGCTTGACACTTTCCAAAGCACTTCCAAACATATGATATTGTTTAATTCCCAGGACAATCGAAGGATCTTGCAACCCTATTTCACAGAAGTGGAAACTGAGGTCCAGTGGCCAATGTGACTCAGCAATGAGTCAACAATCAGGCAGAGCCTCACTACAGGCATCCTGGGCCCCAATGCAAGCTCTTTTTTGTGGCACCTTCTGGGATGGGTGTTTCTGTTTCTCCTGGCAGCCCACTGGTCTGGGGGCTGATGATATCTACAACCCAGGTAGCTGACAATATCCTTTGGGTCACTTTGGTTTCCAGGGCTAAGAAATATGGACCTGTTGTGCGGGTCAACGTCTTCCACAAAACTTCTGTCATTGTCACGAGCCCTGAGTCGGTCAAGGTAGGAGGCACCATGGGTTTCATGGAGAGGTCCCTTCCTTTCCCTGGGTTGGGGGAGTGAGACTGGATTTCAGCGACTGTTCCAGAGCCCCGTACATTGGGCTGGCCTCTCAAGGGTTACCATTGGTGGCCACTCCAAGCACTACTGTTTGATATGGGGGTTGGGGGAGTTTTGCTGTCCAAATTTGGGTTGGGAGTTTGGCCCCCGCTGGTCACACACATTTAGGTAGTTTACCCGTGTTAGTCTCAGTTGCTTCATCTGTGAGATGGGAATTATAACTTTATCTGATGAGAATTCAATGTGGATGGATTTACTCAACAGAGGAAGAGTCTAAAGACACAGTGCACACTGTGACCACGGCCTTTTGTGTGTACTCCACCACATTAACTCACCCATCCTCACAGGGCTGAGCTCTTGCTGGTCCCTGTTTAGAGGTGCAGAAACCCAGCAAGGGCATAATCCATAATGCATGCAGTCTAGGTACTAGATGGGTACCAGCCATCTGCTTTGTAGTTGGCAGAAACTGGCTCAAATCTGGGCTCTGCCATCACTGACTGTGGGACGTGGGGCAAAGCATCATTCTGGGCCTCAGTTGTCTACTCTGTAAAGTAGGGATGACAGCCCTCTCCAGGGCGAGTGTACGAATGGAACTGAACAGATATTGTGAGCCATGTGGCTCGTGTCTGGCACACGGCAGTTGCTCAACTGATGACAGTGCTGTTACTCTCACAGTGGACACATGGGCTTGCAGGCAGGGTGTCTGTGGTGTCAGTGAGAGGGACAAAATACAACTTAGGATGTCAGTGCCATTTTGGGGGGAGGGGGGTGCTAGGGGATCAAACCCAGAGCTAGGTAAATGTTTTACCACCCAGCTACAACCATAGCCCTAAAATACAACCTCAGGTGCACAACAGGGGACTGTTTGAACAGCCATGTTGTCACTAACAGAATGTTAAAAGTATTTATTTTTGAGACAGGGTCTCACTATGTAGTGAGACTTGCCTTGTACTTGCAATCCTCCTGCCTCAGTCTCTTGAATGTTGGGATTATAACCATGCTTTACTGCACTGAGCAAAAATAATTTTTAAAAAGTTTAACTTCAGAGATACAGTTTTAAGTTTTTAAAACATGCTACTAAAACCATGCACAAAGACTTTCAAGGCAATGAGAAAAGGAGTTAAAAGGTGTATATATATATATATATATATATAGCATATTATAATGGTTGATGTTCAAGTGTTGGACCAACTTTGCATTCCTCATTATGACATACCACCTATTTTACATATTGCTGGATTCAACTTGCCGATATCACATTTCGTTAAGGGTTTTTGTTACTGTATTTATTCTTTTCTCCTCTTGTCTTTGTCAGGTCTTTACAAGATAAGTTGAGAAGTATTGGAGGTGGTGGTGGGGGCTTGGCCCAAGTGGTGGAGAACTTGCCTAGCAAGCCCAAGGTGCTGAGTTCAAACCTCAGTACCCCCACCCCCACCAAAAATCCCTGTTATCTGATAAAATAGATTGAGATGTGTTACTTCCTTCTACATTGTGTGTAGGAGTTTGCATAGGGATGATATTTCTTTCTTTAATGTTTGGTAGGACTTACCAGTAAGCTTGTGTGGTCTTGGACTTTTTTTATTTGAGGGAAGTTTTATTTGTTTGTTTTGAAAATGAGACATTTAATTTCTTAAAAAAATTATGTACTTTAAAATTTATTTCAAACTTATTGAAATAAATTTAAAGTTTATTTCAAACATGGACAGGGGACATGGCTCAAGTGCAAAACCCTGAGTTCAATCCTTAGTATCACCAACAAATAATAATAATAATACATAATCTACGTTTGTATAATAATCTAATAATAATTCATAATCTACATTTGTAGGTCTACAATTCAGGGGCGCTAAGGGGCCTTCACAGTGTTATACATCCGTCACCATCACCCAATCCCAGAACTCTTCATCTTCCTTAACTGGAATACCATACCCATTAAACAGCAACTCATTCGCCCTTCCTCCAGTCCCCAGTAACGTCCATTTTACTTACTTTCATTTATTCTTTTTATTTTCATTTGAACTCAGAACCTCACACTTGCTAGGCAGAGCTCTATCACTTAAGCCATGTCCCTAGTCCTGTTTTACTTTTTGTCCCTATTAATTTGACTACCCTAAGTACCCTGTATTTAGGTGAAGTCATATAATATTTGTCCTTTGAGATGGCCTTATTTCACTTACTGTGATGTCTTTGAGGTTTATCCATGTTGTAGCATGTGTCAGTATTTTCTTCTCAATTTATTTAATTGATATGTGATCATTGACAGAAAGGTGTTCATAATAATTCCTCATCTTTTAATGTCCATAGGATCGGTAGTGATGTCCCCTCTTTAATTTCTGAGAGCAGTACTTTGGATTTTCTTTCATTTATGGTTAGTCCATGTGGAAGTTTCATAAGTTTTATTCATAGTTTCAAAAAACCATTGGTTTTATTGATTTTCTCCATTTTCTATTGTATTTCTGCTCTTTATTATTTTCTTCCTCTATTCACTTTGAGTTTAATTTGTTCTTGTTCTAATTTTTTTAAGATGAAAGTTTAGATAATAGATTTTAGAACTTTTATTTTTGGTACAAGCATTTAAAGGGAACTGTAAACACTGCTTCAACACAAATTTACCACAGACTTTGATATGTTATATTTTCATTTTCATTCAGTTCAAAATATTTTTTAACTTTCCTTGTGATTTCTTCTTTGAACCATGGGTTATTTAGATGTATGCTATTTAATTTTTAAATATTATTGGTTATTCCAGAGTCTGTTGGATAGTATGTTTCTGATCTCTTACTTAATTCTGTAAGATCAGAGGAAATACTGTGATCTCAATCTTTTTAAAATAGTAAAAACTTGTTTTATGACCCAGCACATGGTCCATTTTTGATGAATGTTCATACACACTTACAAAGAATGTACATTCTCCTCCTCCTCCTCCTCCTCCTCCTCTCTTCACCTTTTAGAGCCTATGCTTGCTAGGCAGGCACCGTAACACTTGAGCCAAACCCTCAGCACAGATGGAGCGTTACATAAATGTCAGTTAGGTCAACTGGGTCAGTGATGCTATTTAAATCTTTGAAATCTTTACTAATTTTTTCCTACTTTTTCTAGCAATTACTGAGTAAAGAGTGTTGAACTCTCCTACCAAAGTTGTGGACTTGTCTATCTCTCCTTTCAGCCCTGTTAGTTTTACTTCATGTGTTTTGAAGTTCTGTTAGTAGGTGTGTATGCATTTAGGATTATTAAGCCTTCATGATAAACTGATCCCTTAGAAATGAACATTTTTTCCGCTTTGATGCAACCACTCCAGCTTTCTAATATTTAGTGTTGTGTGGTGTATGTTTTTCTGTCATTTGACTTTTAGCTTCTCTGGGTTTTTATATTTAAGGTGGATTTTTTAAAGGGTAGCATACAGTTGGGTCTTGTCTTATACGGTCTGAAAATCTCTGCCTTTAAATAGAATGCTTAGGTCATTACGTTTATTATTATTATTATTATTATTACTAATTATTGAGATCGGTTCTCATTGTTGTCCAGGCTGGTCTCAAAACTCTTGGGCCCAGGTGCTCCTCCTTCCGCAGTCCCCTGGGTAGCTGGGGACTGACTATAGGCTCACACCACCACACCTGGCCAACGTAATTTCCTGTATAGTTGGGTTTAAATCCGCCATGTTCCTCCTTGTTTTCTGTTTGTCTTATCTGTTGATTGTATCCTTTTCCTCCTTTCCTGCCTTCTTTGGGGTTGTATGGCTTAGTATTCTGTTTTATCTCCATTATTGGTTCATTTGCTTCCTTTCACTCCTCTCTTAGTGGTTGTCCTAGAGTTTGTCATACCATCTTTATCTTATGTCAGTCTGTTTTCAAACAATGTTACACTACTCTATTCTCTATTTCTTTTTTTTTTTGTCTTTTCTTTTTTGGTGCTGGAATCGAACCCAGGGCCTCACGCATGCTAGGCAAGCGCTGTACCACCGATCTACATCCCAGCCCTCTATTTCTATTTTTGTGATTTTTCTCTTTATTATTGGTTTCAGAAACTGTGTTATGATCCGACTAAGGACACTTTTATATTACTTTTACTTGCATTTCTTTGAATTTCTTAGATATATGAGTTCTTTTAACACATTTATAATACTTGTGACAGACATTCCAAACTTCTTGTCTGCTAATCCTATCACATTTATTATTTCTAGACCTAATTATAAGGCCATATTTTCCTGCTGTTTGGCCTGTTTACAATTAATTTTTTGGTTCAATGCTAGGCATTGTGAGTGTTACACTATTGAGCATAATGTAACTGGGACTACAAATACATGTCATGCACTTGGGAGGCAGAGGCAGGAGGATTGCTTGAGTCCATGAGTTCAAAGCTAGCCTGGGCAACATAGCAAGACTCTGTCTCAAAAAAATTTTTTTTAAATTTAATTCCCTTTAAAGAGTATTGGGTTTCAGCCTGACAGACAGTAAACTTACTTGCAGATTAGTCTGATCCTTTCTAGGCTTGCTTTAGGGGTTTTTGTTATTGTTGGTGTTTGTTTTTGGCAGTGCTGGGGTTTGAACTCATGGCCTTGTGCTTTCTAGGATCTACCACTTGGGCCATGCCATTAGTTTGCTTTATGAATTTTATTGGGTGGGTTAGAGTAGACTTTTAATCCAGAGCTGTTTAAAGGGCCCCATTACAAAGAAGTGACCTTTCTGGAGCCCCCACTGAAGGCTTCGTACCTAAAGGTGATCTCCTCTGGCCAGTGGGAACTCGAATAATTCTGGGCCCTTTGTAAGCGCTGAGAACTGCTCAGTCTATAGTTGTTCATTAATTATCCCCCTTTGCCCAATCTTGGAGGGTTTTACCCTACCTATGCACAAACTTTTATACATCAAACTCTCCAGGGACCCCATGTGGAGGAGTTCTTTCCATGCCTGACTCCTCACTGGTATGCTGGCCTATAAGTTGGAGCCTCCTTTGGCCTGCCTAGAATCTGATCCCTGTCTATTCAACTTGGTGAGGCTGCTGGACTGTGTTTGGGTCTATCCATTTAGTGTTATCGTACTGGACTTGCCTCCAGTTAGAGAGCTGGGCTACCCTTGAGTCATAGGGTGCACGTCTTTCTCTTTCCTGCTTTTGATTCACACTCTTTTATTACCTGTCTGAAAATGGGGTCTGAAAACAGGCATTTCATCCATTTTTTCCCCAAGTTTTTTGGTCATTTATGGCAGGACAGAAGTCCATAGTTGATACTGCTTCAGAGGTGGAAGTACGCCACGCGTGGGCAACCAACAGAAGAGGCAAGGTGCTGGGTATTCCCTGTGCATCCCTCGTACCCCAAGTTCAGCTCAGGATCCCCAGCCCCTGAGGCTACCCTGCCTTGGTGGTGGGGAGTCTTTGGTTCAGTTTAGAAAGGGCTGCCTTAGACTTCAGGCTACTCAAGAACCTTTGAGAGGGGCTGGGAAGGGGGCATTTACTGTCATGATTGTCCTCTTGGTGGGCACGGGCTGATGACAGAGTTTGGCTTACAAATGACAGTGTTGAGGTGGGGTTGAGGCTCCTGGGGCATTGCTCATGAAGCAAAGTCAACCACCTCTGGAGTTTCTTTTCAGCTGAAAACTCAATATTAGATACTCCCCGCCCCCCAGATGTGAAATTCGCAGAAGCTAGCAGCCCCTGGGTTGTAGCACTGAAATCTCTGCTCACTTCCCAGGGCAGCCTCTGGTCTGGGCTTGCAGCCTCCGCCTCACTGCCGCCTTCCCCACCCCACACACTGCTGCCAGAATACAAATACACATGGGACCTGGGTTTCCCTCAGCCTGAGTCACAGCCTTTTCTCTCCTGTCTCCCGGCAGCAAATTGCCTGGGTTCAAGTACTGTGTCCACCCCAAGTATGACCCTGGGCCATTTTAAAATCTCGGTTTCTTCACTGCATGTAAGCTGAGCATAAAAACAGCACATGCATCTTAGGATGGACTGAGTATGGAGTGAGCTGCAGGATGCTGCTGGGTACCTGGTGTTTCTTCAGCCCCTGCCCTGTACCAGGCCTTTACTCAGCGCCTTTCCTGAAGAACCATTTACTGTTCATGGCAACCAAGAGCCAGGCAGGCACTCTTCTTATCCCATCTCACAAGATGAGGACACTGAGGGGCAGAGGAGGTAACTCGCCCAGGGTGGTAAAGCTAGCAAGTGGTGGGACAGCGGTGCTGAGCCTGGATCCCAAGTCAAGCCGGTGGTCCCCAGCCCCAGCTGTTGGGCTGCACTGCTTCAGAGCCGTTGACTAATGCTGCCACCCTGCCCATGGGAAGGCAAGACGGCCTTTCCTTGACCCCGTTAGGTTGGTGCTAACAACACTGAACCTGTCTCAAAGCCCCCACCCCCGGCCCGTACCCTTGTTCAGCTCTGTGGCCATAGGAAAATCACACAGCCCCTCGGAGTCCCGTTTTCCTCATCCCCATACAAATGCTTAGACTTGAAGACAGGTTTCCTAGCCAGATGACCAAAACTCCCGTGAGATCAGGAGAATGGCCCGTTCACCCCAGGGCTGGTATGGTGGTGTCGATGTCCTGGGCTATGTTTCACAAGGGTCCTTTGCAGCCTCTCGAGTGCCCTACATTTGTTGTTTTTTGGGTCTGTTTAGAAGTTCCTGATGTCAACTAAGTACAACAAGGACTCCAAGATGTACCGTGCCATCCAGACTGTGTTTGGTGAGAGGTAAGGCGTCCCGGGGGGGTTGGGGGTTGCGCTGTGAGCCAGCCGTGTGACAGGTGCCCAGTGCACATGTCACTCCTCCTTGTCCCTCTCTGGGGGACAGGCGGGAGTATGAGGCTTTGCTGAGTTTGGGGAACACGGTCACCCTCCTTCTTGTTTATTTATTTTGATTACATACAGAAAATTGTCCATATCTGTGGAGTACTGTGTGCTGTTTCAATCCCATCTGTTTATGGTGGTGAAATTACCATCTCACCACGTGGGAATAGAGGGTCCTGCAGCAGTTAGCTCATTCACAGTGTGGTGCCGCCTTCACCCTCCCTAGTTCCAGACCTTTTCATCCTCCCCAAAGTGACCCCCCAGTCACCCAGCAGACACCCCCCCCCCGCCCTGGTCCCTGTCTTCTTTCTTGCACGGAGCACGTCTCCCGCAGATTATTTGGCCAGGGCTTGGTGTCTGAATGCGACTACGAGCGGTGGCACAAGCAGCGGAGAGTCATGGACCTGGCCTTCAGCCGCAGGTGAGTGTGTGGGGAAAGAACGGGGCTCTGAGTGTGCCAGGGACAGAACAGGGATCTTGCCTGGATGGGGCACTGGCTGCCACCATGGAGGAGCCTGCAGGAAGAGGGGTGTCTTCCTCTGAGGGGTCTTTTCCCTGAAGAGAGAGGCAAAAGGGAGGCATTGGTGGTCACAAGGGAGAGTGAGGCAGGTAGCCTGTTGGGACATGAGGCTAAGGGAGGTCCCCTGTGACTTGGGAACATGGAGGGCTGAGTGACCAGGACAGCCTGAGGTGTGGGGTGCCTGCTGTCATTACACCTTTGGGATTCTTAGTTTATAAATAATTTATTTTATTTTTGATGACATTTTAGTTTTTCAAAAACCTTTTCATGGAGCTATAATTCACATTCCATATAACCCACCCATTTAAAATGTATGATCCGTGATTTTTAGGATAGTCACAGATTTGTGTAACCCTAATTCCCCGTTTCTTCCCAAGGCCCCCATCACCTGGGTTACTTTCTGTCTGTATGGATTTTCATATTCCGGGCATGTCATGCAGGTGGGATTGTACAATGTGCGGTCCTCTCTGCCTGGCTTCTCTCATGCAGAGTAATGCTTTTATGGTTCATTCATGTCACAGGCTATATCAGTATTTCATCCCTTTTTATTGCTAAATAATATTCCACGGTGTGGATATCACATCATTTATTTGTTCTTCAGTTAATGGACATTGGGTCGTTTCTACTTTGGGGCTGTTATGAAAATCTGTGGGGTTCGTGTAAACCTCAACTCCCCCAAACTCCCTGGCAGCCTCCTCAGGGGCCTCCTGCCTCCTCCAATGCATTTTCTTCACTGCCCTGGAAAGATCTTGCTGAAACTCAGATCTGTCTATCCCCTCCCCTGCTCTGACGCTTTCACTGACTCTGAAAGTTGAAGGTCAGGCCCCACCCATACCGGGCTATTCCCTAAGCACCTCCTCCTCATCGCTGCCTTGGCATCTTCTCACTGCAACCTTCCTAGAGCCACTGTGCTCTTTCTGGCATCCCTGCTCTTGCTCCTCCCTCCCCCGTGCCTCAGTGTGCTTCCCCTGGGAAATTCCCGTTCCTCTTGCTTTGATGTCCCCTTCAGGGCCAAGCTCATGCCTCCATCACAGCTCCCGTCACACCTAGCATGGTGCTCCCCTTCCCATCCACCTCACTCAGGAGACCATGGGTTCCTGAGGCAGAGGTGCCCTCTGTCCCTGAGTCCTGTGCCACGCAGGCCTCCAGGACTGCCTGGCGAGTGGGCTAGTGGGAGAGTAGAGGGAAAGGTGTAATCCTGCTCTCGCTAGAAGGTTGCCACAAGTGAGAATGAAAGGAATAGACAGGAGAGAGGTGTTTACTTAATAAGTACACATTGTGCCGAGAGCCGGTTACACAGGCCAGCCAAGCCATTGTCCAGGCGACTTCTAGGCCAGCAGAAGACATGAATTCTAACTGGAGGATGGTGATGGTTTTCATGGTCATGACATAGACTGGTGTCATTCTGCTGATCACTCTTAGGCACACAGAACCTCATCTCTGACCAGCACTTCAGTTTGTTAAGTGAGTCCATAGGCTTTTTTTTTTTTGGTGGGATTGGGGCTTGAACTCAGAACTTCACACTTATAAAGCAGGCACTCTACCACTCGAGCCACACTTCCAGTCCATTTTGCTCTGGTTATTTTGGAGACGGGATCTCATGAACTATTTGCCTGGACTGGCCTTGAACCAAAATCTTCCTGATTTCAGCCTCCCAAGTAGCTAGGCTTACAGGTGTGAGCCACCAGTGCCCGGCTTCCTAGGCATTTTTAAAGGTTTTAATTGTAGCATCTGCCATTTTAGGTGTGCAGGTCGGTGACATTAAGTCCACGCACATGACTGAACAACCCTCACCAGACATTTTAGTTCTCCCGCCTCGTTAGAACCACGTTAGAGATGACTGTTTTATTGTGAATGCCCAAGTTCCAAAGTTACACAACGAAGGCTTTGCAAGCTGCCTGTGTCTATGCAGGCATTAGCAAGCGGGGTGAATCCTGCTGCCCAGTGAAGGAGACACAGGAACCACTGAGGGGGTCTTCTCCCACCACCATCCTCACGGTATTATCATCTACTTCTAATAAATCTGTAAGAGCAAGATGCCAGTTTCTACTCTTCTAGAGTTTACCTTTACCAGAAGGCCTTGGTTCAGTCCTTTCCATAAAAGTCAAGGCATACCTGAAACTCCAGACCAACCCTTCTGTCCACAACAGGAGCAAGACACTCAGGACGGGTCTGTAACCAGACACATGCTCCAAATAGTCAGCTGGAATGTGATCTTCAAAAAAGGACAAGTACAAATAATCTTGCAAACAGACATGTCCTTGAAAACTGTAGGTGTTATGAAGGGACTCAAGGGTGCTCTGAGCACACAGTGGGTCTCAGGAAGTGGCACTGAAGGACTCCTGGATGCTGGGCATGATCCAGGTGATAATGGTGAGGAAAGAGGCGAGGAGGAGAGCTCCAGGCAGAGGGGACATGTAGGCAATAGCCCTGAGGTTGGCAGGTACTTTGGAGGCACTAAAAGGCCATTGTAGCAGGAAGGCAGTGCTGCAGGTAGAAGCCAGAGGGGCAGACCCTCCTCCCCAGCCCAGGCGGGAGGGTTTTCACCTCCTTCTGCCACTTGAGCCATTCCACCAGTCCTCATTTTCTCTATCTTAATGTTTAAAAATCTTTTTACTTGGAAATAATCTCAATTTCCAGATGCATTTCAAGATTAAAAATAGGATAAAGAGGGCTGGAGGAATGGATCAAGAGGTAGAGTCACTGCCTGGCAAGAGAAAAGCCCTGAGTTCAAACCCCAATACCACAAAAACAAAACAAAGAATAGGATAAAGTATACTCATGTGCCCTTTACCCAGACTGATATTAGAAAGACTTTTCAATAGAGAAGCAGCACTTCCCTTAGTGAAAATTTAGAGGTACATAATAGACAAAGTAGTAGCCTCCCTTCCTGCTCTCTCTGGTTGCTGTTTTTGTGAGTTTGGAGTGCATCCTTGAATACATCTTTCTAAGCTCTATTCGAGAGAGATGAGCTGTCCAGAGCAGGGAGCACTGTGGTCAGGAGCTCTGAGCTGCAGATGATATCTGAGAACTCATTTCCACATGGACTTGGGCAAGGACAGGAGTGAAGTGGGAGAAGAAAAGGCTGCAGATGGCAGCCTGGGGCAGGGCAGGTAAGGACAATGTAAGCAGAGGGGTGGTCATGGACCCTCAGAGGTCCCAGAGTTTCAGAGCCTCCATGTTTCTTTGAGGTCAGAGCCAAAGGGACCCAGTGGCAGACAAGGGGCAGAAAGAAGGTCAAAGGGACAGTGTCTATCCTAAGGACAGAAGTGGTGGAACCTTGGGGCTTAGTTCAGTTACTGTGACCCTGGAGGTCAGGGAGGCTGAGGGGCCCCCACCTCGCTGCAGAGAGGGAGGTGCAGGGCGGCCTGGACGGGGTTGATGCCCGTGCTGTTTCTCCAGTTCCTTGGTTAGCTTGATGGAGACGTTCAACGAGAAGGCTGAGCAGCTGGTGGAGATTCTAGAAGCCCAGGCGGATGGGCAGACCCCGTGTCCATGCAAGACATGCTGACCTGTGCCACCATGGACATCCTAGCCAAGGTGATGAGTTATGCTGGCCAGGGACCCCCAGCACATGCAGCCAAGGGTCCTCTTCTCTCCCTCCTCTTTTCCTCTCTTTCTTTCCTTCTCTCCTGCTCTTCCAGGTATCTATCAGCTGCCCTTTCTGTGCCCTGTATATTTTTCACACTTTTTTTTCTTTTTTGGGGGACTGGAGTTTGAACTTAGGCCTTGTACTTGCTAGACAGGCACTCTACTGCTTGAGCCATGCCTCCAGCCCTTTTTGTTTTAGTTTATTTTTCAAATAGGGTCTCATGCTTTTGCCTGGAACCTGATTTGGATTGTGATCTTCCCACTTCCGCCTCCCAAGTAGCTGGGATTACAGGCACGTGTTACTACACTGGCCCTATTTTTCATACATTATGACTTCTTGACTAGTCAGAGCAATCTAGTATGAGCCAGGCCTCAGCATGTCAGTGTTCAAGGCAGAATTCAATCTCACAGCTAAGGAAGGCTGCATTTCAGGGTCAGTTCCTCTCAGTAAGGGAGGAAGCCAGGTTTATTGAGTAGCTCTATGTGCTGCTTAATCCTCATGGCTTCCCAAGGGGTGTTGTAAGGAGTGGCTGACAAGGTGCCCAGGAACGCTCGGCCCAGGGCCCAAGCCTCCAGCCACATGTGCTGGGTGTGACCTTTCCTTCTATCTCACAGGCAGCTTTCGGGATGGAGACCAGCATGCTGCTGGGTGCCCAGAAGCCCCTGTCCCAGGCAGTGAAGGTGATGCTGGAGGGAATCAGTGCATCCCGCAACACTCTGGCAAAGGTACTGCCCCAGCACCACCCTGCATCCAGCCACCATGGCCGAGTTGTATGCTTGTGCTGAAGCACCTCCTTCAGGGACCTTTTCAGGATAAGTTTAGAATTTGGGACATTCAAAGTGACTTCTAAATCAAGATTTGCATGCATTGCCCAAAAGTGGAGGCATAAAATCAGTGTCTTAATGTAAATTAGGAGTTAATCTTTCTTTCATGTCACGTGATCCCAAAAGCAGATATTCTAGGGTGGATATGATGCCTTCACCATGTCAGATGCTCCTGGATCTTTCTGTGTTCCACTGTCCTCAGCGCATGACCTCATTGTCATAAAATGGCTGCTGCAGCTCCAGCTATCACCTCCTTATCCCAGACATGAAGAAGGAGGAAAGGGAAAGGTGATTCCTGAGTTGATATCCAGATTCCCTCCTGTTTCCTGGAACTTCAGTCTCTTGAGCTTGCAGCCCCCATGTTTTCAGCTGTTGATTCTGTGTCACTTCCCTCTGGCGGCGATTTCCATCTTCGCCATGCAATCCTAACTTCCTCTCCGTCAAAGGCCCCTTCTTCTTTCTCAGTGTTGCATGGATGTTGCAAGGCCTCTTTGCCATCGTGTCTACAGATTTGCTAGGAGGGGAAGCTGATGCTTGGAGTCACTTCGCCATCCTGATCTGGTCTCCCTGGCTGCTTTACCTTTCTAGAATTTTCTCACATTCTCCTGACCTCCCAGCTTGCCAGTGAGGCTGTGGATTTCGGGGTGGGGGCAAGAAAAGGGAAGGCACAGGTTCAGGGCCACCTGGAGCTGGATCTCCCTTCAGTTCATGCCAGGGAAGAGGAAGCAGCTGCGTGAGATCCGGGAGAGCGTCCGCCTTCTGCGCCAGGTGGGCAAGGACTGGGTGCAGCGCCGCCGGGAGGCCCTGAAGAGGGGGGAGAACGTGCCGGCCGACATCCTCACGCAGATCCTCAAAGGTGCGGGCAGCGCCTGGGCCTTGCAGAGGGCGGGGCCGTGGAGGGGCGGGGCCACGGAGGGGCGGGACACCAGGGGCGGGGCCGAGGAGGCGGGGCAGTGGTGGGTGGGGCTTCGAGGGGTGGAGCCACAGAGGGGCGGGACAACAGGGGCGGGACCAAGGGGACGGGGCAGTGGTGGACACGAGCTGTCGGGGGCTGGCCATGGAGGGGCAGGACAGCAGGGGGCGGGGCTTTGAGTGGGCGTGGGAACCGGTGGGCGTGGTTGTGGAGGGGCGGGGTCTCAGAGGGCTGATCTACTGTCCAGCAATGTATCACTGGTCACACCATTGACCTTGTCTCTGGCTTCAGAAGAAAAAGATGTTTTGGGTTTGGTACTGGGGTTTGAACTCAGGGCCTCACTCTTGCTAGGCAGGTGCTCTACCACTTGAACTACTCTGCCAGCCTGAAAAAGACCGTTCTTTATGACCAACTTTTGGGGACAGGGAGCAAGCACTATGCTGGAGGCTGAGCTTCTGCTTGTCTTTCAGCTGAAGAGGGAGCCCAGGACGACGAGGTTCTGTTGGACAACTTCGTCACCTTCTTCATTGCTGGTATGTAGCTTCCACGGTGGCCCAGGGTCTGAGCTTTGCAGACATGACAGGAGCCACTCAAACCCCCACTGAGATCTGGGGACTGTCTGAGCAGAGTCCTCCGAAAGCTGAGGGGAGGCCTGGGCTGAGAGGAGCCATAGTCTCTCTCGTTGATGTCTTGTGCTCCATTCTGACCTGGTGACAGAGGTGGCAATTGTGGTCATTTGTGAAGCTGGATTTTGGCTCAGGAGAGTGTGACCACATCAATCTAGAGCAACCCCTCACTCAGAATTTTGGGAAAGACTTCGCGAGATTGGCCCAAAAAGATGTGTTGAGCAACTTCATTCATTTGCTCATCAATTGTTTCTTGAGCATCACTGGTCATCTAGAATAGTCCTCCTTACCCTCCAGCAAGCCCTCAGTTGCTCCCTTTTCAGGGAAGTCCCCCGTGATTGCTCAGATCACATCAGGCCCCCAGGGAGAAGTCAGCCACAGGTCTCAGCACTTCTCTCAGCCCTCCTGTCTGTCTCCCCTACTGTGCAAGATTGCCTGCTGGATAATAGAGGGGCTGTGTTGTGTGCCCACCTGTGTGTGTTCCTACAGCCCCTTGCAGGTGACCACACACACTGGATGAGATGAACGAATAAGTGCTAGCCAGGCGGTCCCCTGTCTGTCCCTGTGACAGAAGACGCATCTCCCTTATTTGACCTCAAGGGTTGCAGAGGGCTTTAGGCAGGAGCTGCCTAGCATGGGAAGGACAGGGCCTTGTTCTCAAAAAAGCTTTGGACTTAGGTCAAATTCCTCTTAGCTCAGCTTTCCTTCCTGCAAAGTGGGGGTGATCATCCTCTCTGCCAGTGAGGCTCAAAGGATGATTGGAGGAAGGGCTTTTACAGCATAAAAGTGGGTGCCATGCACTTGCCCACACTGGCCAGCCCAGGGGATATGGAGGCAGACGGAACATTTTCTTTATATCTCAGCAGTGGGGGGGCAGATGTGGGTCCAAGCTGCCACCATGCCCAGGGTCTCAGAGGCCAGGTGGCAGCCTCTATATTTCAGCAGCCGCTCTCCTCTTCTCTCACAGGTCATGAGACTTCTGCCAACCACTTGGCGTTCACAGTGATGGAGCTGTCTCGCCAGCCTGAGATCGTAGCAAGGTAAGAGGACTGCCCTTGGTGTTGACAAAGGGTTTTCTCTGATGGCTTGTCCCGAGGACCACATGTTCCAACCTCCTGTGGCTGCAACCCTCCAATGTACTGTAGTTCCATTCACCCCAGAGCCTTTGCACCTGTGGTTCCCTCTTCTGAGACTGTGCTCCCTGCTGTTCTCCTGGAGAACAATCGCCTCCTCCAGAAATGCCTCCTTAGATCCCTAACACAACCAGCCTGCATGTCTCCTCCAGCCTCCCCAGCTCTAGTCCCTGGAACTGCTGGCTCCAAGTCTTTTTCATCCAGGGGACCACAGGCTGCAGGGAGCAAGAGCTGTGGTTCTGTCCCTCTGCACAGTGCACCCAGTCCTTGGTGAGCACCGCACTGCACATGGAGCAACATTGCCACACAGTGTGGGGGAGCAGTTGTCTTCAGGTGGCAAGACTGAGGAGGGTGTTCCTGGGCAATGGCACTCCCGCTGGTGGAACTCCAGTTGGTTTCCTTACAGACAGACACCCTCTACCACCACCACCAGGATGTCACATACAAGCGCAGAAGCAGCCTGACCACAAGTGGGCCACGGGAGCTCCTGAGAGGGAGAATAGGACCCTGATGACAAGTGCTCCCCTTTACCAGCATAAAAGGGCAGAAGTGAAAGATGACATGAGACTAGAAAATGGCTCATTGTGTTTAAAAATACATAGAATAGAAAGTCACTTTACATAAAAAATTAGAAAGTTGGGGGTGTGGCTCAGAGGTGGAGTGCTTGCCATGTGCAAGGCCCTGGTTTCCATCCCCAGCACCGCAGAAAAGAAAGTGGAAGAGGCAAAACAGTTAAGTAGTGATAATGAACCCACCCGGGGGCCATTGCTAGTTAAGTATGGGATTCCTGTTCAGCACTGTCAGTCTTTGCACGTGGAGCTTTGGCATCCTGTTGTCTAGTCAGTATAATTCACTGTGAACTTCACCCTGACATTGCCCTGTATGGTTGCCATCTCTTCTGAAACCGTGCTGCTGTTTAGCTGTGGGAAAATACAGTACCATAAAATTTAACATTTTAAGGCCAGGTGCTATAGCTTGGTGGTAGAGCGTTTGCCTGTCATGCATGAGACCCTGCGTTCCTGACCCCAGTACTAGGAAAAAATAGCATTTTCACTATTTTTAAACATACTAAGTACATTGACTTGTTATGCAACCATTGCCACCGTCATCTGCAGAAGCTTTTTAATCTTCCCGACTTGAAACCCTGACCCCATTAAACAACCCTTCCCACACCCAGAAAGCACCTTCCTATGAACAGTCTATTCTGGGTGCCTGGTGTAAGTGGCACTGGGCAATATTTGTCCTTTTGTGTCTGCCTTATTTTCACTCAGCACAGTGTCCTTAAGGTGCATCCATGCTGGAGCAGGTGTTAGAGCTCCCTTCCACTGTTTGAACGGGCCAGTGCTGCTTCTCCACTCATCACCTGCTGGCGGACACTTGGGTTGTTTCTACCTTTTGCTCTGTGAATATGGATGTGTGATTATCCCTTTGCGTTGCTACTTTCAGTTCTTTTGGGGTTATACCCAGGTGTGGAATTGCTGGATCATATGGGAATTCTATCTTTAATTTCCTGAGGAGTTGCTGTACTGTTTTGCAAAGCAGCTATGCTACTTTACATCCCTCTCAACAGTGCACAAGGCTTCCAACTCCCCCACGTCCTCTGCATACTTACTTGGTTTCTTTTCTTCTTTCTCTTCTCTTCTCTTCTTTTTGCTTTTTTCTTTTCTTCTCCCTTCCTTCCTTCCTTCTTTCCTTCTTTTTTTTTTTTTTCGACAGAATCTTGCAATGTAGTCCAGGCAGGCCTTGAACTTGGAATCCTCCTGCCTCAGCCTCCTGAGTACTGGGATTATAGACCTGTACCACCACACCTGGCTAATTTTCTTTTCTTTTCTTTTTCTTCCAGTCACCATCCTAATAGGTGTAAAGTGGTCCACATTCCTCACGCACATCCGAGAGCTTGCTGACCATTCTCCTTAGAACACTCTTGCTGCTGTTGCCAGCTGTAGACTGCTCTCAACCAGTCATCATGGTCATCTTCATTCATAGGCCTGTGTAGGGTGTGTCACTTCCTACAACTGATTGCACTCATCAGATACCAAGGGTGGCGTTTTTAAGACCCATCCCAGCAAAAAGTTAACGAGATCCCATCTTAACTAATAGCTGAATGTTGTGGTGCTCACCTATCATCTCAGCTACTCAGGAAGCATAAAGAGGATAATTGCAGCCCAGGTCAGCCTTGGGCTCCTCTCCTCTCCTCTCTGTTCCTCTGAGTCTTTATCCATGTACTTAACATTTCAAGACCCTATTTGAAAATTCACAAAAGTAAAAAAGGACCGGTGGCATGACTCAAGTGGTAGTGCACCTGCCTAGCAACACAGGGCCCTGAGTTCAACTGCCAGGACTGCCAAAAAAAGTCTCTCTTCGGAGGTGATTTTGTCTTTGTCTTACCCAACAGGTTGCAGGCTGAGGTAGATGAGGTCATCGGTTCCAAGAGGCACCTGGATTTCGAGGACCTGGGGAGACTGCAGTACCTGTCCCAGGTGTGGGGCCATTGGAGAAGCTTTGGGGCAGATGTGGGCGATTCAGCACACAAGACTGCTGCTGTTTCCGGCCCTTCAGTGGTTCTCAAACTTTGCCACATCTGAGAATCCCCTGGGAGATTTCAAATATCCTGAGGCCCAAGCCGCCTAGACTAATGCCATCAGAGTGGAGGGGCCTCCCTAGAAACCCCAATTGGCAGCCAAGGTTGGAAACAGGTCCTCTCACAAATGGGCAAGGTCTGGTTCCACAAGCCTGGCTTCCCACCATTTGGCCACTCAGTAGGCCTATCCCCATACTGACCAACCCCAGGGGAGGTCTTGCTCTGCTTGGGGTAAGCACAGCTGGCTTCAGGCTGGGGTCCTCTGGGATGGGAGCAGCCTGGCTTCTGGCTTTACCCCCATGGCCTGTACAACTGCCTTCTCCTCTGGGTCTCAGTTTCTTCCCTTTCACATGAGGAATTAGACATGATGGTGAGGCTGATGTCTGGGGGCTTGGGACTCAGTCCTAGGAAGCAGGTGTGCATTTGGCGTTGTGAACAGGAATGAGATGGGTGCAGGAGCACCCATTTGTGGGACCTCCTGACTTCACTTGTGATTTCCCTGTGTGACTTCTGTAGGTCCTGAAAGAGTCTCTGAGGCTATACCCGCCAGCGTGGGGCACCTTTCGGCTGCTGGAGGAGGAGACCTTGATTGATGGGGTCAGAGTCCCTGGCAACACTCCTCTCTTGGTGTGTGGGGACCCTGGGTGGGATGGCCTGCTTGGGGTGATCTACTGAGGTCAGAGAAGCAACTTCATTAGCAGCTATGTGCTTTCTTGCTTGATTCTAACCTTGGCCCTGTGAGGTCTTCATCCCCTCACACTGTCCTGCCTAGTATGACAGTTGAGAATTCTGGAAAGGAGGTGCCTCACAGGCAGCTGAGGACCCTGAGGTTCAGAGAGGTTCAGTCCTTTTCCTGGGGTCACACAGTTGGCAAGAGGGAGATGTGAGACGTGCCTGGGTTCACATCCGATCTAGACATACCTTGGCTCTTTCTCTCTCCCTCTCTACAGCCCCTTCTCCTGCTGTAGTCAGAGTTTTCCTCTCCTCTCTGTTCCTCTGAGTCTTTATCCATGTACTTAACCATTCATGTCTTCTTCATTCATTCAGGCATTCATTCATGTACAATGACCTTCCGTAAACCTACCACCCATCTACAGAGGTATCACTGTCCTGTCCTGTGGAATTAATCATATCCTGAGTTCCATTTGACATTCCCTCAGTTTAAATGTGTGCACGTGTGTGTGACATGCTGGAGGATTGGCTTTTGGTTCAGCGCAGTGACTATGTGGTGCTGTGTCGGCTTCCTCATGAGGCTGTCAGCTGCCTGCTTTCACTACTATGTGACCAAGCCATGCTGCTCAGCTGCTTGTCACCTCTGGCCCTCAGACATTAGGGTTTCCAGTTTGTGGCTATCATGAGCACCACAGCAGCTGTGACTGTGTGTCTTGGGTCCTGACACACTGTCCAGACGTAATTCTGAGGCAGATACCAGGAGAGAAGAGGTGGGACGTGGATCTGCTCAGCTTCACAAGCTGATCCCCACTTGCTTTCCCAGGTGGCTGAGCCAACTTGGCCACCCACTAGCAGCACAGGAGAGCCTGTCCCTCATCCTCTCCAGCATTTACCATGGCCCAACCAAATCTGTATAAAATGGCATTTTACAGTGGTCTTGATCTACCAACTCCTGGAAGAAGTGTCCCCTCACTGTTCTTCCTCTGCTGTGAGTTGCTGGCTCAGTTTCTCCTTTTGTGTTGTTTGACTTAAAAAAAAATTCAAGCAGTAATCTTTTGTTATATACATTGTGAACCTCTTCTTTATATTTGTCACTTGTCTTCAGTAACATGTTTTTGATGATCAGATGTGTATTTTAGTGGTTAAGTTTTTTTATTTTGTCTTGTTTAAGAAATTCGTCCTGGCTGGGCACTGGTGGCTCATACTTGTAATCCTGCCTACTTGGGAGTCTGAGATCAGGAGGATTGTGGTTTGAGGCCAGCCTAGGCCCCCATCTCTAAAATAACCAGGGCAAAATGGACTGGAGGTTTAGCTCAAGTGGTAGAGTGCCTGCTTTGCAAGCATGAAGACCTGACTTCAAACCTAGGCCTCACAAAAAAAGGAAAGGATGGAAGGAAGGAAGGGAGGAAGGAAGGAAAAATTTTTCCTAGTCTGTGTGGTATTGCATTCCTATAACTTGGGAGGTTAAAGTAGGCCAGCCTGAGCCATATAGCAAACAAAAAGATATCCTTCCCTTTGCTTACAGTTTTCCATTTTCCTTTTGAAAGTTAAGATCTTCCCTGCCTGGAACTGACTTTGCGTATGTTTGTGAGGGAGGGCTCTGTGTTGGTTTACTAAGGCTGCCATGATGAAGTAGAAGACAGAGCTCCACAGACTCAGTGACTTAAACGACAAGCACTTACTTCCTCACAGTCCTGGAGGATGGAGGTCCAAGGTTGGAGTGTTACAGGGTTGGTTTCTCCTGAGGTCCCTCTCCGTGGCTCTCGATGCCACCTTCTCCCTTTCTTCATGTGCTCATCCCTCTGTGTGTGTCCGTGTCGTGGTGTCCCTTTATAAAAGCACCAGCCACACTGGATTAAGGCCCACCTTAGTGACCTGATTTTAACTTAATTACTTCTTTAAAGAGCCTGTTCCAAATACAATCATATTCTAGGGTTGAGACTGGGGGACACAGTTCAGCTGTGGCAGGACCCATTTTTATGCTTACATCTGGTGATGAGGCACATCCAGCCCCAGCTGCTGAGCAGCCAGCTGTCCTGAGTTCTGTGTGCCTCCTCCAACCTCCTCTACACACATCAGAGTGTTGTCTGTGGTGCTTATTCATTCTGTTGTGACGATCATTTCTTTCCTACCCTTGTCCCAGCACTCTGCTGCCTCTTTAGCTTGCCCTTCCATCAGACAGGCATGGCCTTGGCTGTCTCTGCCCATTGAGTATAACCAGGGCTTTGACTGGGCAAACCTAGGGTCCACCTGAACCCCCAGGTCCCATTGCTACCAGACCCTCAGTTTCCTGAGGATCAGGCTCACCCTGATAAGGTGGGGGTGATGGTACTCAAGGATGTTGAGAAGAACCAATAGGATGATGTGTGTCCCAGGTCTGCCAAAAATCCCTGGCACATCCCTGGTCAAGGTACCCTTGACCCCAGATCCACTCACTTTTGGAGCTCTGTTCCAGGCCTCCCTCCCTTCCTGCTGCCCTGTACTCAGCACAGAGAAGCAGGGGTGGGGAAGGCGCAGGGAGATCCTTTGTCCAAGGATGGGAGCAGCTGAGGCCAGCACCCAAGGCCTTATGATGGGGCCAGATGCACACCCCCTAAGGCCAATGGCATAGAGGGAGTATCAGCCCAAATCAGGAGGCCCCACCAGTGCAGGTAAATGCTGATGGGGGCTGTACTCCCCCACCTCCACCCTGAGGCTGAAACAAGACTTGAGTTGAGAGAAACCAAATAGTAGCAGCTCTCAGGGAGCTAGATGGCTTTGCAGTGCCAGATCTGAGTCTGAGTGAGTCTTGGTTTGGCCACCTACTTGCTGGTGACTTTAGGCAAGTCCCCAAGCCTCTCTCTGAGCCTGTTCCCTCATCTGTAAACAGTGATAATTGCTGCTTCCCATAGGCTGTGCCAGGCATGGGATGATGGTGGGGATCTTTGGTTGTCCTTCCCCTTTCTTTCTCTTAGAGGTTTTCCGAGGGCCAGTGGAATGCTATCCTCCCCAAATGAGTGGGTAGGGAGATAGGTGGATGGAGGGTGGGGGCTCCTCTGCTCTGAGTCACCCGATTGGGTGGCTGCAGTGGGTTGGGAGGTGCAAGGAGTGCAACCTTGGAACCAGAGACACCAACTCCTTTGCCCGGCAGTTCAGCACCTACGTCATGGGGCGGATGGACACCTACTTTGAGGACCCGCTGACTTTCAACCCAGACCGCTTCAGCCCTGGGGCACCCAAGTAAGTCCCCCTCAAGCTCTCATGAGTGGCCTGATCGGAGAAGAAAGTCACAGGGGCCTCTCATCTGGGTCACCTGTACCCACAGAGCCCACAGAGCCCACGAGCTTCAAACCACAGTGAAGTGGTTGTGGCAGAAGTCACAGCTCAGAGAGGCTAGGTAACCCACCCAAGTGTGTCAGTATGGTTCTGAAACCTGTGCTCATAACCAGCACCTTCTACCGGGACACAGCATGCAGCCTTGCGTTTCCTACCTGAGAGATGGGAGCACCGTGGCTGGTCTGGAGGGTACTGTGGAAACAGTGCATGAATGTACCAAGCAGCCATGGGAAGAGCTGGGCTCCAGGGATGACCCACTTGAGTTCAGACCCAGAAGTGGGCATAAGTGACAGGCGACTTTGGGCAAGCTGCTCATTGTGAAGTGGGCATAAGAGCAGCTCCCTCTGGGCGGGCCAAGAGGAGGGAGAAATGTGAAAATGGAGATCCAGAGCTCAGCAGAGTCCACTGAAGATGGTTCCGTGACCCTGGCTCAGAGTGGGTTATCACAGGGGTGGCTGGGTTGCCACTCTGCTTTTTCATTGATCCTGCTGGGGCCTCTCTCCCTGCAGGCCAAGGTTCACCTACTTCCCCTTCTCCCTGGGCCACCGCTCCTGTATCGGGCAGCAGTTTGCTCAGGTAGGAGGCACATGGGCCTGACCAGAAGTGACTCAGGGTGGTGGCTTGTTCTGAGCCCTTGCCTGGACCCCTGGACTAGGGGACCAGGAACCAGGCTGAGCCTGACAGCAGGAGGTTAACTGGGGGGAGAGGTGGCCATGGTTCAGTGCTCCTCACCCCTTCTTTCTCCCTTCTTCCCTCCCTCCTCCCTTTTTTCTTTCCTTTCTCATGTCCTGCTTGGCCCTCACCCCCAATCTTCCCAGATGGAGGTGAAGGTGGTTATGGCCAAGCTGCTGCAGAGGCTCGAGTTCCGGCTGGTGCCTGGACAGCGCTTTGGGCTACAGGAGCAGGCCACACTCAAGCCACTGGACCCTGTCCTGTGCACCTTGCGGCCCCGGGGCTGGCAGCCTGCACCCCCGCCCCCACCCTGCTGAGGCCCTGGCAAGATGGAACTCTTCAGGCCTTGGCCACACCTGCCCTCCACTGCTACCCATGGCCACCCTCCTGTACTCCTGCTTCTTCCTCCAGCCACCCTCCACTCTGGCTCCTGGTGGGCCCTATGCTGATGCCTGCTTTACACCCACAGCGCTCCCTGTCACCTGCTGGCTACATAGCCCTTTCTGGCAGGCCCTGCCTGACTCCCAGCTATTGCCACCTCTCCTCACCTCTGAACCTTTGCACTGGCCACACCCTCAGATGAGACACCCTAACTCTTGCTTATTCCCTCAAGTCCTCTTCAAGCTTCACCTTCTCTAGGAAGCCCTCCCTGCCACCCCCGGCCGGGCCAGGGGCCCTTCCTCTGTACTCCCTCAGTCACCTGTGCTACCTCTAACACCACACTGACCACAATGTATCGTGAGTGCCCGCTGATGTGACCAGCTGCCCTTCTAGGCCATGAGTGCCTCAAGGGTAGGGTCTGCGTGTGCTTTGCCTCTGAGCCCCTTGTGACCATTGAGGGCCTGGCACAGAGTCAATGCCCAATAAATGTGTGTTGACTGCATGAATGAATGGCCTGCCTGGGCACCAGTGCTCTTGCCTCAGGTTTTTTTTTTTTCTTTTATTGTTTTTGTTTTGGTGGGACTGGGGTTTGAACTCAGGGCTTCAACTTGCCAAGCAGGCACTCTATCACTTGAGCCACACCTCCAGTTCTTGCTTCAGTTTTGCTCATCTATAAAAGGGAAGATGTTGCAGCTGGTCTCATCAAGGGCTGGCACAGCTCTGGAAGCTGCCAGCCCGCAGATGCACCTAGAGAGGCCCAGTTAATGCCACCTTGCAAGAAGCCCTCTTCAGGTTATCAGAAGGGCCTCACAACATGGAAACCAGTTTCCTGTATTGCATAGGAGACTGTATGCTTGGGTGCTGTGTTCTGCTGGGACCTGGCTTTAAGACCTTTATTTGAGAGGGCCAGCAGCCCCACGTGTCTCTGGAAGCATCCTGGTTGAGCTGGGCACACATACCTGTCTTGCACCGGCCTGTACCACTGCACCAGTGGACACTGTGCTGCACCTGCAGGCCTGGCCGGTGGAGGTGCTTGGACAACCCCAGTTGGGGAGATGGTGACGCTCACAGCAGACAGTGGGTAGAAGAAGCTCACTCCTCCTCCTTAGCCTAGAGCTGTCCAGTAAATTCTGGGCAGCCATGTCCTTTGGGCCCATCCAGAGAGAAGGACCTGCCCTGAGCTCCTCCTTCAACTCTCAGAGCTTGTCTGTGCCCAGAGATCACAAATGACCTTCTATCCCCCAGGAAGGCTCCTTCTCCACCAGGGAGGGCATGTATTTGTTCTGACCCTTGATGTCCATTGTCTCGTTTAGTCCTTGCCACAATCTTGAATGACATCTTCGAGGGATCTTTCCATGGAGCAGATGAGAAAAACTGAGGCTCAGAGGAGGAAATGACCTGCTCAGTACAGGTGGGGCCTGAGGTGCAGTTGGGAATGGGGGCTGTGTGTCTGGGTTCCTGGCCTGTCCCTCTCCCCAGCCCATTTTGGCCATGGACACCTGTACAAGTTGTTTGGTCACAGCCTCTAGGTGAGGGGCCAACTCAGGGATACCTTTAGAGCTCAGGAACTTGGCCGAGTGAGGACACTCTGGCTCCTTCAGTGCCTCACCTGACCACCTGGGCACCCAGTCAGGCTCCTATTGAGCTTGGCCTTCCTAGACCCCTGCTTCCAGCTCTCTGCCTGCCAATCCAGAACCCCACCCACACTGAGAAAAGGTGCTGGGTTTGTCTTGTGCCACATGGGCAAAGCCACCTCTTGCTCACCACTGCCCCTCAGAAGCAGACCCTTCCCATAGCCACTCCACAGGCTGTTATCTCCTCATTTTGTCCTCAGGCTCTCAGCCCTGTTCCGCTTCCTGACCTCTCTGACTGTGACCCTTCTTTCCTCTGAACCTCTTCTCTGAAGTTTGCCAGCCCTCTGCCCCATTGTCCAAGTCCTCCACCCTCCACAATGGCTGGGCCTAGTTCACACAGGACATCATCTCCCTCAATATCCACCCAAAAGGCCACGGACCGCCAAGACTTGGCACTGTAGGGGTGCAATATATTATGGTCTGGAGGGATGAATTCCTTCCAGAAGCTTCAAGCCACCAACTTTACAGCTCCATGATTTAGCCTGGCCATGGCTGAGCTGGATCTTCACATCAGTGTTTCTTTAAAATCTCCCAGGGGACAGGAATATAAGCATGTCCCATTTCACAAATGGAGAAGTCCTGGCCAGGGCCACAGTCAGCCATAATGGAGTCAGGACGTAAACCCACAGCCCTTTGCACCCAGTGGCTTGCTGTCATTACAGGCCTGGGCTTCCTGTCAGTGCTGAAATCCTGAGGGCTGGATCCCCAAGGGACAGAGGGGCAGGTGACCAGAAGAACAGAGCCTGACCCCCTACCATGACTCCTCTGTCCTTGCCAATGTGCTGTCCTGGCCTCCTGAGCTACTTCCTCTGCCACCTATCTGGGAAGGTGGGGGTCTCCCAGTCCTGGATGCATGGAGGAGTCACCTGGGCTGGGTGACCCACTCTGGGGTAGGGCCCAGACACTTTTTTTTCCATGAAAGGATTATGCTTTTTATTAGTTAAGACAAACATTTTTCCTACAACTACAACCAAAAGTTACTTAAATTTCTGACCACAAAAGGAAAATAAAAGCAGATGAGACTGTTTTCTTTTTAAGCCCTCCAGAAGACCCCTTCCCAGAACTGCATGGGATGGTGTCACCAGTCCAGGAGGAACAAGGTGAATGGGATTAAACCCAAGGCTCTGTAACCAGTCTGCCTGGCATCAAATCCTGACCCATTCATCACTGGCTCTGGGGCTTGGGTCTCAGTTTCCCTACCTGTAAGAGAGGACAAATAACAGGACTCATTTATCAGGGTTGGTGGAGGAGTTAGAGTGTCACACCTGAGTAGCGCTTGGCGCAGAGCCTGCCAACTCAATGCTCAAGACTTGTTCGCTTGTTATCATCTTTATTTCTTGCTACCTTCATGGAAGAGCGGGCCTCGGCAAAGCCTGCAGTCCCCAGGGACACCGCAGGAGGCCACCCTGGTGCAGTGCTCGCAACACCTTCCCCACTTCGCTGGGGTTCCAGGGTTGGGAGGAGGAGGTTCGAGGGTTGCCAGGTCAGCCTCTTGCAGGCAGGGTGTGAGCCAGAAATCCAGCCCAGGCCATCTTGGGCATTCACTGACCACTGGATGGAGGTGAACCTTACCCCCATGTCATAGGTGGGGCCACAGAGGCACTGCAAATTCGTTGGACTCACCTGATGTCAAGGAGTTAGGGGCACACAAGGGCACGGCCATTGAGACAGAGTGCGAGCTTCTCCTGGTGGGTCCCCATCACAGCACCTGGAGACATTCCACCTGGGTCTGGCAGTGGAATGCTAGCAGCTCCCCCACCCCATAGCCTGGCAACAGGAACCCGGCTCTGCCTTACCCAGAGTGGATGGCTTTAGCCAGAAATGCACAAAGGGGAAGGGGATTCCCTGCTGCCTGGGAATGCCCTCCCTAGCAGCTCTGGAGAGTCCTGGTCTCCCCACCCCCACCTACCCCCTGACAAACTCACCCCTTTTCCATGTGTGACTTGGTCTATGGTGGCCTTTTCCAAAAATGTTCCCTCCCTTGTAAACCTGGATTCAAGATGTGGGGAGGGCTGGAGCTCTGGATCAACACTCTCAGCCCGCAGGAAGCTCTCAACATTCACACCCTGGGTAGGGGCTGGCCTTCCCCCAAGGCCAGTGCTTCCTCAGTGCTGAGTTGCTCCAATTCCCAGGGCCTCTGCCCCAGGGGGCTGGGTGAGGAGGGACCTGGAGCTGACATAGCTTTTCCAGTTAGCTAGTACCCTAGGCCAGGTTGGGAGTGGTCTTCAGGAGGTCTTGGTCTGCCTGGTGCAGGTGAGAACCTTGGCCTACAGGTGGCCAGGTGGGAGACTTTCTTCCTCTAAGCTCTGGGTACAGAGGCTGGAGGCTGGAGGCTGGAGGCTGGAGGCCCTGCTGAGTTTTAGTGAGCCAGGGTGGGTAGACAAGATCCCTGTGCCCCAGCAGGTGGCTGCTCACCTGGGAAGGCTCTGGGTGGGGACTCTGCAGGGAGTGTGAGCTGGCCCTTAGTCCTCCTGGCAGTCTTGAACAAGCAGATGAGTCTTTTAACAGTCCAGAGACAGACCCTTTTACACTGGGCTCCAGACAGCTTCAGGCATCTCTGCCTAGCTGTCCAAAAATAATTCCAACTATGGGGTGGGCAGACACAGGGGCTTTCTCTGAATCAGGGAAGGTATGGAGAGGGGGTCAGGCTCTGCCTTGGCCAGAAGCCTTAAAAACCCTCCCCACACATTCTTCTCACTTGAAGAAGCCATAGTTGCCTCCACCCCTGAGCTCTCCCCCACCCCCTGCTGGTGGGCCAGACCCAGGGCAGCCAGGCCGAGTGGCCTTCCCAGCAGGAGGCAGCCTGGGAATTCTGCTGCCAAGGGCTAGCCTATCTGTTCCGTGCTCCAAGAAGGTAGGGTCCAGAGGAGGTGGGAAGCCCCACTGGGAGCTGGCTCACTGGGCAGCATCCACCCTGCTGTATCTAGCTCCAGGTCTGCTGGGGAGGGGGCTGGCCAGGACAGTGGAGAACACCTGCAAAAGGAGAACCCTGGCCTTTTGGGAGGCCAGAGAGTGTTCTAGGGTCTGTGCTGGGCTGGGGGATGAGGAGGGCCCATCTATCCTCCCCGCTCCTCTCCTCAGAGAAGGGGTGCCTGACCTGTGCAAGAAGTTCCAGGGGTGGACAGGAAGCAGGACCTCCTCTCTGACCCCACCTTGCTCAGATACCAGGCTTCCTGATGTTCAGTAAGTGAACATGACTCCGTTCCCCTTCAAATGGCCCCAACTCATGCCCAACCATCATTCCTGGGGTACCCTGAGTCTTTCCCACCACCAGGCTCTTCTCCTGCTTGCTCTCACCCCGT